AATCTACACATTTAATGCAATTCCTATCAAAGTACCATCCATTTTTTTCAAAGAAATGGAACAAATAATCCTAAAATTTATATGGAACCAGAAAAGACCGCGAATAGCCAAAGGAATATTGAAAAAGAAAGCCAGAGTTGGTGGCATCACAATTCCGGACTTCAAGCTCTACTACAAAGCTGTCATCATCAAGACAGCATGATACTGGCACAAAAACAGACACATAGATCAATGGAACAGAATAGAGAGCCCAGAAATAGACCCTCAACTCTATGGTCAACTAATCTTCGACAAAGCAGGAAAGAATGTCCAATGGAAAAAAGACAGCCTCTTCAATAAATGGTGTTGGGAAAATTGGACAGCCACATGCAGAAAAATGAAATTGGACCATTTCCTTACACCACACACGAAAATAGACTCAAAATGGATGAAGGACCTCAATGTGAGAAAGGAATCCATCAACATCCTTGAGGAGAACACAGGCAGCAACCTCTTCGACCTCAGCCGCAGCAACATCTTCCTAGGAACATCGCCAAAGGCAAGGGAAGCAAGGGCAAAAATGAACTATTGGGATTTTATCAAGATCAAAAGCTTTTGCACAGCAAAGGAAACAGTTAACAAAACCAAAAGACAACTGACAGAATGGGAGAAGATATTTGCAAACGACATATCAGATAAAGGGCTAGTGTCCAGAATCTATAAAGAACTTAGCAAACTCAACACCCAAAGAACAAATAATCCCATCAAGAAATGGGCAGAAGACATGAACAGACATTTCTGCAAAGAAGACATCCAGATGGCCAACAGACACATGAAAAAGTGCTCCATATCACTCGGCATCAGGGAAATACAAATCAAAACCACAATGAGATACCACCTCACATCAGTCAGAATGGCTAAAATTAACAAGTCCAGAAATGACAGATGCTGGCGAGGATGCGGAGAGAGGGGAACCCTCCTACACTGTTGGTGGGAATGCAAGCTGGTGCAACCACTCTGGAAAACAGCATGGAGGTTCCTCAAAATGTTGAAAATAGAACTACCCTATGACCCAGCAATTGCCATTTGCGACAACATGGATGGAACTAGAGGGTATCATGCTTAGCGAAATAAGTCAATCGGAGAAAGACAACTATCATATGATCTCCCTGATATGAGGGAGAGGAGATGCAACATGGGGGGTTAACGTGGTAGGAGAAGAGTAAATGAAACAAGTTGGGATTGGGAGGGAGACAAACCATAAGTGACTCTTAATCTCACAAAACAAACTGAGGGTTGCTGGGCAGAGGGGGGTTGGGGGGGGTTATGGACATTGGGTAGGGTATGTGCTATGGTGAGTGCTGTGAAGTTTGTAAACGTGGAGATTCACAGACCTGTACCCCTGGGGGGGGGGGAAAATATATATATATATATATATATGTTTATAAAAAATAAAATTAAAAAAAAAAAAAGATTAGGCTGGATACTTACTTTCACCATATAAAAATAAACTCAAAATGGACTAAGGACCTAAATGTGACACATGTAACCATAAAAATCAGAGAGATTGGCCATACTAAAATTTTTCTAGATATGTCTCCTGAGGCAAAGGAAATAAAAGCAAAAATAAACTATTATCACTACATCAAAATAAAAAGTTTCTGCACAGTGAAGGAACCAATCAACAAAACTAAAAGGCAACCTACTGAATGGGAGAAGATATTTGCAAATGACATGACAAATGCAAATGATTAAGGGTTAGTATCCAAAATATTTAGAGAACTTATACAACTCAACACCCAAAATACAAACAAGCCAATTTAAAAATGGGCCAAAGACAAGAACAGACATTTCTTCAAAGAAGACATACAGATGGCCAACAGACACATAAAATGATGTTCAATATCACTTATCATCAGGGAAATGCAAATCAAAACTATAATGAGATATCATCTCATAACTGTCAGAATGACTAAAATCAAATATTCAAGAAATATTGGTGAGGATGTAGAGAAAAAGGAACACTTGTGCTCTGTTGGTGGAAATGCAAACTGGTACAGCCACTGTGGAAAACAGCATGGAGTTTCCTCAAAAAGCTGGGATCATACAAATGTAGTGATCCGAAGGGGCACGTGCACCTGAATGTTTATAGCAGCAATGTCCACAATAGCCAAACTATGGAAAGAACCTAGATGTCCATCAACAGATGAATGGATAAAGAAGACGTTGTGTGTATACACACACACACACACACACACACACACACACACACACACACAATGGAATACTATGCAGCCATCAAAAGAAATGAAATCTTGCCATTTGCAACTACATGGCTGGAAATAGAGGGTATTATGCTGAGCAAAATAAGTCAATCAGAGAAAGATAATTATATAATCTCCCTGATATGAGGAATTTTAGAGGTAGAGTGTTGGGGTAGAGTGTTGGTAGGGTTTGGGAGATAGGGAAGAAAAAAATGAAATAAGATGGGATTGGGAGGGAGACAAACCGTAAGAGACTCTTAATCTCACGAAACAAACTGAGGGTTGCTGGGGGAGGGAGGTGTGGAGAGGGTGGTTGGGTTATGGACATTGGGGATAGTATGGGATATGGTGAGTGCTGTGAAATGTGTAAGCCTGACAATTCACAGACCTGTACCCCTGGGGCAAATAATACATTATATGCTGATAAAAATATTTTTTAAAAAGAGAAAAAAAAAAAAGCTTGGGTAATGGCCTGAGCTGATGGCAGCCACTTAACTGACTAAGCCACCCAGGTGACCCCATGAAAATAATTCTTAAAGCCCATTGCTTAAAACCACTATTCCTCACTAATGTGACAGGACAACTTTTAGAAATATTTTGTTTTTCACATAGTATTTTTTTCCTTCTTGGTCCTGTGCAGGGTCAGGCTCTTTATGCTTCCTTGCCCAGAAGAAGTTATGTATGTCATATCTGAAAGCAAAAGGCTCTTGCAAGACACTTCCCTTTCTGGATTTTGTTTTCATAAAGTCTGAGCTTCCATATCTGCTGTGCAGAAGGAAGGAAGAGGCAAGAGTTGCAACTGAAGTGCCTTGAACAGCAGATGTTTCCAGAGCCTAATTCCTTGGCCCTTCCATCAATCTCTTTTCCTTCCCAATATCATGAAATCCCAAGTCACCTTTTTGGAACCCCTACACCATGGAGAATTTGAAAATCACTGCTCTGGACCAATAATTCCCCAGATCTTCTGAGCTGAAGACACATGGACATGCTGGAATAGAAGCTGAAGGACTTTAGAGACAGACTACCATATTTCTATTCTTCATGTATAGAAGATGAAGTAATAGTGGAGTGATAGGTGACTGGAACTGCTTTAACCTGGGAGTGCAGAACAATGCTGAGGCTGGTAATCAAACTGGAAAGTTGAACTGAGTATTGGCAAGAAGAAGAGGATAATTAATTTCGTCTCTGGAATGTCAAATTTGACATAAAGGTAATGCATCCTAAACAAGGTAGCCTGTAAGCAGCTAGAGAGATGGGAATGTCTGGTCTGTAGATAAGAAGATAAGAGAGTCAAGCAATTGTTGAAGAAATGGGCTCAGAGAAAAGAGCAGAAGGAAGAGGAGAGGGTGTTCAAAAAATCCTGCAGCAAAGGTAGAAAACTAGTGGCCCATGTGCCACGACCTCCTTCTTTGAGTGACTGCTATTCTCTTGTTCACTGAAAACTTTGTTCTCTAAAAATATAGACTATTAGAATCACTGTTTGAAACTTTATCAGTATAAACAAAACATCCTACTCTTGCTTGGAGGATCTAAGACCTAGAGAAGCAGCCTCGATTGACTCTCAAGCCAGGTGCAGAGCTTTGGGACAGGGGTTTCTGAAGACATTATTCCACATCTGCCTTAATTTTGTATAGTTCCCAGGGAAACAGGACCTAAGGTCCACTTGTAGTCTAGACGTGATGTCAACGCTCTGCTTTATTTAGAACCTACTGAAACACAACTTCATCAAAATTTTGCCCTAACTCCACACTTCCTCCAGAGCTGTGTAACTCCATCTTTTCCTTTGGTGAGCTGCCCCCCAGTTCCTCAGTTGTGAGCTCTCTATTGCTGTGGATCAACAAACCTCTATCTGTTGAGCTATGGGTTAACTTCTGGAGGTATGTCTTGGGCGAAGACTGAAAGCCCTGAAGGTTTTTATAATGCAATCATTCTTTTTACAAACTATAACTGAGACCCAGACGAAGGGTTCCTGATTGTCTTTGCAGTTCTTTCACAGTACCTCAGAACGACTTCCAGTTGAGAGCCATTATGGTATCCACCTTTCTAAAAAACCATTTCAGCGGCTGAGCGGTTTCCCTTATACATGTAATCCACAAATTTATCCAAGCCTTTTATCCAGGAATGACTCAGGTCAGTCATTCCTCCGGGGTTGAGTTCCATATATTTATTACCAGAGAAGTGGGACCTCTGACTGAGGGCCTTTCCCAGCTCACCCTACTTTTCACCTTTGTTAAGTGATCTTCATTCCTTAGGATAAATTTCCTTTTTCTTTCTTGACTCGCCAGCCCACTCTGTCAGGAAATAGTAACCGCTTCAACTGGAGAGCCATGCGTCACCCTTCATTCATATCTTTTCTCTGGCAAGGCGCTCTAATAAGATGGACTAGGAACCAATTTTATCTCCAGACCAAAAAGAAAGCAAACACTTCCTTATTAGGAATATAGTACTGTATTTAAATAAACTACAACGTAAGTTTTAACAAGTCCCTTGACCCCTGAAGAAAAGAAACCTAAGCGCGTCTGCCTTCGCTCTGGGAAATTCTGCGCTCAGATCAGGCAGCGCGGTAACCGAAGGCACCTCTGCCAGTGAGCGTCCGGTAAAACTTGAATCCGCGACCCCTGGGCGAAGAGTGGCCGCAGGGCGGCGGCGCGGTCGGGCGCGGACGCGGATTGGTTGTCAGGGAGCCGGGACCCGCCGCGCTTGCGCCGTGCTCCTCGCGCACCGCCCATCCCGACGCCCAGTCGCCGGTCTGCGGCCTCGGGAGAGATCGGGTGGCTGCCGGCGAGCCGGCGAGCGGGCAGCCGGGTGGGCAAAAGGTGTGCCCGGCCTGCTGTCTCCGAAGAAGTAGGGGGAGACTTTCCCGGGGTCTGGAATCCTCTCGAGCCCCTGAAGTTTGCCCAGGCCGAGGAGAGAGAAGCTGAGGAGCCGCGGACTCTCCAACCCGTGCCGCCGCCGCCATGGCTGCCATGATGGATCGGAAGTGAGCCTCAGGGCGACGGCTACCGGCGCCGGTGCTTCGAGTCCGGGTTTCCCGGCCACTCCCGCCGGGGGAAGCGCGGCGCTGCAGACTGCTGACTCTCTCGGCCTTCGCGACCCTTACTTTCAACTCGGGCCCGCTTCCTTCCAGACTGAGCGGCGGGGAGTGGCTCCCGGCCTCCGGCCCCGGCAGCGAGGAAGATGGCGGACCCGGCCGAGTGCAACATCAAAGTGATGTGTCGCTTCAGACCTCTCAACGAGTCTGAGGTGAACCGCGGCGATAAGTACATCGCCAAGTTTCAGGGAGAAGACACGGTCATGATTGCGGTGAGTGACCCCGGTCCCCACCCTCTGTCCCGCTTCTTTGCGCCTGGCTGGCCCGGAGTTCTGGGAAGTGGCGGGGTGCAGGATTGAGAACGAGCAGTGGTGTCCCCAACCCCGCCCCCCGGTAGAGTTTGCCGGTTCAGATAACCCTGGGGAGGGAGACTGCGCAGCTCCACGGGTGTTCCTGGATCGCCCTCACCCGGTCTTAAGTGCCGAGAGAAGGGAGGCGCCTGGTCTCGGTCTGGGACACTCCCCCACCTGGGGCGCTGGAGGAACTGTCCGGAGAGAGTTTAGTGCATATTTGCGTATGTTTCTGCTTGTATGTGCGCACTTGCTATTGGTGTTTTGGACTACCCCCCGAGTTTACCATTTGTAACACGTGCAGGATTAAAGTTCAGCTAGGAATGTTGAGGTTCAAGACCAGCCCTACTGTACCTTAAGTAGTAAACATACCTAGTTGTATAGAAACAGAAGACACAGCTACGTGATGAATAATATTTCTCTCTCGGGAGGAGGAAAAATTATCGAACGACTACAAATATACCTGTATCTCTTACGTTCACCCACCCGTCCTTTGAGTGATGAATGAATGTTCATGTTAACTATTAAAAATTGCGAATCGACGACTGTAAAAAGACTGAGTTCTCTTTTGAAATAGGAGTGATCAATTTTCTTCAGTTTTCTAGCTGATCTGGCTAACCCAGACTGGGTCAAATAGGTGCCCAGAATGACCTATATACTCTTACTGGGTTTTATGGGGTAGCAGTATAGCAGAGTGTTAACTTTGTATCAGGGTATTACAGACGCAAGCTTTAAAAAGAAAATAAATTTGATCAGTAAGTTGGATTTCTTGTTAGTACTGGATCCCTACTTCTACCTTGAAGAAAAATTGATTTTGATAAATCTCAAGGATGGAGAAATAGTGTCCTTTGTGGTATAAAACATGACCAGAGTTGGTTGATTATTGTCAGGGAAACCAGAATGTAAGGTTGATTTTTTTTTTTTTAACTTATTTTATTTTAGGTCTGATCTCTGGTATTGAAAGGTGTCTGCAAATGTTTTACAACCCCAGTTCAGGAAGATTAAAATGGGTAGTACGACACTGCTTACAGAACAGTGAATTGTGATTAAAATAATTAAATCTATCTTCTTTGGTAATGCCATTGTGGCAGAATTTTTTCTACGTTGCTATCATGGTACAAAATCTGAATGTTAGGTTTTTTTTTCTCTGATGGCATTCCATATTTAGCATATTGTTTGCACAGTTTAGTTTGGAAAAACGACAAAGGGGGTCATAGGAGATGGGACATTGATGGTGAAGAGCATTGACATACAAGACAGGATTGAAGTTCTTTTAAGAAATTTTATGTGAAAGTTTGCAAAGTTCAGCTTTAGAAATTGAATGTCATAGCTCTTTGTTGCTCTGTAGGCCTTTGGCAAAGAAGTCATTAGATTACCAACAACTGCCAGCTACTACTGTGTGAAGACTGGGCTGGTTTTTTTGTTAACAAGTTCATGAGAAAAACGATAAATGACATTGGTAACACTACAAAGTTAAGCACAGTAGTCATCCTTTTCCTTTAGGATATCTCTGACATGGAATCAGAGGAAGCTTGCAAGGCCTGGGTTAGTTGGCAAACTGGCTACTAATTTCTCATAGTTTTTGTGATTATTCAGCTGCTCAACAGTGATTGATACATCAAAACGATTTTCCTTTTAGACTTGTATAAAGAATATCTTATTTTTGCAGATTTTTGTGTGTGTTTAAGCAAATCTATAAGTACTACCAAGATTCATTTGTTGGAATGATAAGGATTCCCAAAATACATTGAGAAGGCAGCTTTCTGCCCAAATAAGACATAGGAGGAAAGAGTTAAAGAAAACAGTTACCACAGTAAGCACACTTGTATTTTAGGTTGTTTACTTTGAATAAAGTTCTTATAAGTTCTTATTTAAGTTTCCTGAACAATGTAAATAAATGTAAATGGTAATAGAAATAATGGATAAGTGATTGAGTTGTGAATTTGTAATAAACAGTTGGCCTTTAGGTAAACTGGTAAGCATTTTTAGTCTTTTTTTTTTTTTTTTAAGTTTAAGCAGAAATACAGCAGTCACCTAGCCTTAAGAAATGTAAGGCAGCATGTTTACTTCATTATTTTCAAAAGCTAATCTTTTGCACATACTAAGTTATTGGTTACAAGACGTCTCAATTTTTTTAATGAATTTTTTCAAAGTCTGTTGAAAATTTATGAGGGATAGCTGGGAGAGTGAAATTTTAAAATTTTAAAAATCTCTAGATTTGTTTTGTTCATTTTACTGGATCCTGATTCCAAATGAACAGTTTTAAGAAAGAATTGCTGCAGTGTGGCATTTAAAACTAAATTATTTTAAATGTGATCTTAAAACATTTTGTATAAAATCTTCTGGTTAAATCAAAATGTAAAACGGTAAATATTTTAGTTTATATATGTGCTGCCGAAGCGAGCACAATATTTTAGTTTATAATGTGATCGAATTATAGATATAGTCTGTGCTCCTGTAGAAAATAATTTCTAAGGATTCTCATTTTCATCTAAGTTCACTTTTGTCCAAAGTTTTTATTCCTGTTACATCAGTGGCTTTAATATAATATGATCCTGTGGCAGGCAAATCTTGTAATCAGGTATTGTTTCTCCATGTTTTACAGTCTTTATACAGCTTTTTTGGGTAATTAAGTGCTTGTTGAAGAGGTATAAATACCACATCACAAAAATGAAATGTGAATTATTTAAGGAAAACCTTTACTTGATAAAAATAGAATTTGCTTTAAATAAGAGAACTTGTTATCCACAAAAGAGGACAAGGGTAACACCTTATGTAGTTGAAATAAGCCTGCTGAAAACTCCAGGGGAAAAAAAAATCAATAAAAAAATTACTCTTTTATGCATTGTAAAAGTGGAGCGTGCATATTTGTATTGTTAAGTATCTTGACCAATCACGGTTCCTTATATGGTATACCGAAGAGACTGTCAGAACCAACAACAGGCTGTTGCAGTTCATTGAAATTAAAGGAAAGTAAAACCTAATTAGATCATCTTGTCTAGTTCCTTGTCTATAGCTCAACAGGATTTCTCTTTTCAAATGAACGATGTTATGGTATTTGATCCTCATTACCTTAAGAGTGAAAATTAAAAGAGAAGAAGCCACCCTAGCTGGCTCTTGTTTTCAGCTCAGGTCATGATCTCCTGGGTCCCAAGATTGAGCTCTGCCTCAGGCTCCACAAGGTTCTCTGCCCCAGCTCCTCCCCCGGGTTGCCTGAGCATTCGCACATGTGCATGCATGCACAGGCGGGCTCTCTGTCTCTCAAATAAATCTTAGAGAGAGAAGAAGCCCTCATCACATACCTGTACAATTGTGGCATGTTAACTAACAGTCATTGTCAGACTAAGCAAAGTCTGGTAAGATACAATCCCATGTGATCTGAGGGTCATTATTCAGAATTCCAGAGAAAGGTATATTCCTGCTAGAAGGGTGACCTTTATAAACAGATTTGGTGTTCAGCCTGGTCTCTCCAGATATAGACAGGAACCACTTCACTTAAGAAATCTAAGATATAGGGGCGCCTGGGTGGCTCAGTGGGTTAAGCCTCTGCCTTGGGCTCAGGTCATGATCTCAGGGTCCTGGGATCGAGCCCCGCATCCAGCTCTCTGCTCATCGGGGAGCCTGCTTCCCCCTGTCTCTCTCTGCCTGCCTCTCTGCCTATTTGTGATCTCTCTCTGTCAAATAAATAAAAATCTCTTAAAAAAAAAAAATTAAAAAAAGAAAAAAAAGAAATCTAAGATGTAGGGTCCCTGGCCGGCTCAGTTAGTGAATCTTGTGACTCTTAACCTCAAGGTTGTGAGTTCAAGCCCTATGTTGGGCATAGAGACTACTTTAAAATAAAATCTTAAAAAGAAAAGAAAAAAATCTAAGTTATGGTTGCAGTTCAAATAAGCTTATTCCTATTTGGTTTTGTCCCTTTGAAGCCTGTCAGATGTGAATGTATTTTATGAGTTGAAGTATCTTTGAAGGTTCATAGAAATAAGACTATATAATATACATTTCAAGGCCGAGAACCAGGTTTTTAAGATACAGATGTCCAGATCATGAGTTTTCCTTTCTTTAATTTATTTGAAAAGTTTTGGTTAAGAGATGTCCCTTAATTGTAGACTATTAGAAGTAATTTTTATATTTCATAAGTCTTGTTTTTCATTCCAGGAAGCTGTTATCAGTTAGTAATTTCATGACTAGATCTCTAATTAAACATTTACCTTACCTTACATACCAAAATTATAGTTTAGTTTTGGAATTAAAAGATTTTTGTCAACTTAATGCTTAGCACTTAATTTTTGATTCAACAGTGATATAACATAACACTTAATCCCAGCTTAGTTATTTTTTAGTTTGCATATTTGCCATAAGGAATGCCATAGTAAACACCTGCATAAAGTACTTTTTAGGCAAGTTTTACTGTTACCCTCTTTTTTTTCTTTTTTTTTTTTTTAATTTTATTTATTTGTCAGAGAATGTGCACAAGCAGGGAGTGCCTCAGGCTGAGGGAGAAGCAGGCTCCCCGCTGAGCAAGGAGCCAGATGTGGGACTCACTCGATTCCAGGATCCTGGGATCATGACTTCAACTGAAGGCAGATGCTTAATTGACTGAGCTACCTGGGTGTCTCTGTTACCCATTATTTTTGGTATATTTCTTTCTAAATGGTTTATGACCACTCTTTTTACTGATGTAATAATGGGATAACTTCAAGCTCAGTAGTGTTTGTTCTTTATATTTATCAAATGTTTATTTAAGTATGTTATTACTTTTGGAAGGATGCAGTTGTCTTCATGCTATTGCCTATATTGCCTATTTTCTAGTGACTAATTTGGTTCTTGCAAGCACAGTTTGAGTTAATCATTTTTAAATTTTTCATAGTATAGTATATTTTCATAGTATATTTTTATGCATTTTTATTAAATGTGTATTTTGGCTAGTTGCAGTCTGTTCTTGACTCTGCCAGTTCACATAGAAAAAATTAGTGTGGTTTATCTCTGGCTGCTGATTGTTATTTTGAATGTACTTGTGTTTTAAAAATTGTTTATCACAGGGCACCTGGGTGGCTCAGTGGGTTAAGCCGCTGCCTTCGGCTCAGGTCATGATCTCAGGGTCCTGGGATCGAGTCCCGCATCGGGCTCTCTGCTCAGCAGGGAGCCTGCTTCCCTCTCTCTCTCTCTGCCTGCCTCTCTGTCTACTTGTGATCTCTGTCAAATAAATAAATAAAATCTTTAAAAAAAAAAATTGTTTATCACAAATACGTCTTGTATAATCACTAAAAGAATAGATTATCTCTTTTTTAGTTGCACCTGTAAAATTGAAGGTTAATGTCTTTGTAGAATTTTAGCAAAAGGACACTTTTAGGGGTGCCTGAGTGGTTCAGTCGTTAAGTGGCTGCCTTTGGCTCGGGTCATGATCCCAGGGTTCTGGGATCGAGTCTCACATCGGGCTCCCCGCTCAGTGGGGAGTCTGCTTCTCCTCTCTGGCTCCTCCTGCTTGTGTGTCTGTCTGTCTGCCTGTCTGTCTCTCTCTGCCACATAAATCAGTCAATCTATCTTTTTTTTTTAAAGGACACTTTTGTGTTTGTCTTACAGGCAAAGAATAGTCAGACATTAAGATGCCAACTTTTAGTTGATGCCAAAGTTAAGTCATCATAGTATATCCTTTAACAATGCTTTCTGCTGCAGAGGGCAAACAAACAACAAATAGTGGTTTAAATAAGAGATTATTATTCTCACATGTTAAAAGTCTGGAGATAGGCCCCTAGTGCTGCTGCTTACTGACTCTGTTATCTATTGTCATCCTTAAGCTATTGATTTTTCTTCATGTTTTTAAGATGGATGCTACAGCTCCATCATTCCAGAAAGGAGAAAGGGCAGCTACAGCTGAGATGGTCCTTTTTATCAAAAAAACAAAACCCTTTCCCAAGAACCCTCAGCGGACCATCACTTTGTAGTATCCAGAAATGGGTCATATGGCCACTGGTTGCAAGGAGACTAGGCTATTAGGTAGTTAGCTTCCCAGCCTATGTAATGGGAAGCTGCAAAGGGAAGGAGAATTATTAATGATTTTGGATAGCCATTTAGGAGTATCTCTTTCATTGTACTTTTCATTTTAACTGTTATTCCAAGTTTTGGGGAAGGAGATTGTGAAGCATAATTCCTAAAAAGTAAGGTCTTTTTTATCAGAGGCCTAGGAAGTATTCTATAAAGTTAAGGATTTTTTGGATGGTCATGATTGTTTTGTATTTAAGGTCTAGCTTCCTTCCTTTCCTTTAAGAAAGGGTAGAGAGCAAGCATATACTTTTAAATACTAGACCTCCTTGCTCTCCTCTTACATGTATATATGTTTTTTTTTTTCTTTTAGTTTACTAGATTGTTCCGGCCAACATTTAAAGTTGCTCAGATCTTGTCCTTTAAAAAAAAAAAAAAAAAAAAGTCTTTAGACCCACAGCCAGATTTCTCTGCTTACTTACTTCCCATTCTTTTTTTTTTAGGATTTTATTTATTTATTTGTCAGAGAGAGAGACACAGCAAGAGAGGAAACACAAGCAGGGGGACTGGGAGAGGGAGAAGGAGGCTTCCCTCTGAGCAGGGAGCCCAATGGGGCTTGATCCCAGGACTCTGGGAACATGACCTGAGGTGAAGGCAGATGCTTAAGAACTGAGCCACCCACGTGCCCCTACTTCCCATTCTTTTTTAATCTCTTTCCACTCTAACCTTTTTAAATGGATATTTTTCAATTTTCCCTTGACCTCACAGCTGTATTTGACACAATCACTCCCTCAGTAATTTTTCCTTGACTTGCATGGATGCTGTACTCTAATTTTTTTCATTCCATCCCTCTGGCTCAACTTCAGACTGTGTCAGTTCTTTAAATGAGTCCTCAGGATCCTTTCAGGGGACCCACAAGGTCAGAACTTTTCAAAATAATATTAAGATGTTATTTTGCCTTTTCACTGTGTTGTCACATTGGAGCTTTGCTCCATAACTTCCAACTTAACTTTTGGTTTGTTGCATTCTGCAGCCTCATTTCTGCCTTAGGATTTTTTTTTTTTTAAGGTTTTATTTATATTATTTGACAGTGCACAAGTAGGGGGAGCAGCAGGGAGAGGGAGAAGCCGGCTCCCCGCTGAGCAGGGATCCCGATCCTGGGCTCCATCCCTGGACCCTAGGATCATGACCTGAGCAGAAGCAGCCGCTTAACCAACTGAGCCACCCAGGCGCCCTCTGCCTTAGGATTTATGTGTCCAATACCTAGGGTACTTCTGCACTCACCCTCCCATGACTAGTATTGAAGAGGCAAGCAATGAGCTAGGTGCTACTGTTTTTTTCAGTTCTTAAATATCCCTTCTCCAGAGTGGTTTCCTGGCATTCTTCTGCCTTCTCCCAGATTCAGGTTCTTCTCTTATGCTCTCATAGCATTCTGTTGCATGAGTCAGAATTCTAGTCACTTAATTATTTGTCTTAATGTCTGTCCCACTATTACTTAACCTCCACTAAAGCATGTCTCTGTCTTGGTCATCATTCTAACGAGATGTATGTCTAGTATATCAGGCATCCCATAAAAATTTTTAAATGAATGAAATGATTGAAAAGCTATTGCAGTAAAATGAAAAGCCTAATGGGAGTAGTGGAGGGAGCTCTGAATTGGTGGGAGATTTGAATTTAAATTTTAATTTTGTCATTAACACCTTTTTTACATTTCAGGATTCTAGTTTCTTTATCAGCAAAATGATACTATTATTGAAGGTATAGTCTTAGTACTTGCCAGAGTAGACAGTCATTAAATAAAATTCACTCAGCAATATATGAGTGCCTGTTATAGTAGTGGTAAGCCCTGGAAATAGAACAAAGACAAAAATAGACATTTTTGGTTTTGTGGAGTTCATTCTAGTGGATTTGTACTTTGTGATCCTTAAGGTCCTTTCCACAAGATTCGAAGACACGAAGTTATATATATAGTAGGTACCCTATTTAGAAGGTTAAAATATATGATGACATCTTTAAAGGAACTTAGAAGTGTCCATTCACCTTTACTTTGTGTAGTTGAAATCTTTGTTTCTGTTTTTCAGTCCAAGCCGTATGCATTTGACCGAGTGTTTCAGTCAAACACCTCTCAAGAGCAAGTGTATAATGACTGTGCAAAGAAGATTGTTAAAGGTAAATCTATTTAACATGCTGTTGTCTCAACAATAAGTAAAATTTTGTGATCTTGCGCATTATCCAATTTTTTCATTTTTCCTTTTTTTAGTTAATTGTAGAAGACAGTTGTTTAAATAATGAAAAGATCAGATACAATTAGTAAACACATTATTGCTCAAATTCCATGATCTAATTTTTTTTTTTTTTTTTAAGATTTTATTTATTTGACAGAGAGAGCACAAAGTAGGCAGAGCTGCAGACAGAGGGAGAGGGAGAAGCAGGCTCCACTGGGCAGGGAGCCCGATGTGGGGCTTCATCCCAGGACCCTGGGATCATGACCTGAGCTGAAGGCAGCTGATTAACTGACTGAGCCACCCAGGCACCCCTCCACGATATAATTTATATACAATACTTAGTGAAAGGTAGTATAAGAATATTAGCATTACACACTTGTTCTTGGAAGATGCAGTTCTATTAGATATTCCTAAGAGAGTTTTTAAGGTAACAGTTCTGGAAATGCAGCAGTTTGAGAATGATTACAAAATGGTTAAATGGGTTTCTAAAAAGTAGTAGAAAATGGTAGTAGTTGGTCATTCTTCCATTCCATTGTTCTTTCTTCCCCAAAGACTCCTCTTGTGTTCAACAGAAAAACACTTGAAGAATTTAACAGAGGTTACCAAGGGTGAGAAAAGTGCGTACGTTCCAGTTAATACTATTAATTTATACTAAGCTTTTTCAAGTTTATACTTTTTAAAACCATAGAACCCTGGAGCCGAGAGGGTGTGAGTGATTATCTGGACTTCCAATTACTACATAAATCCCTTTTGTCAAAGGGATCTTAGAGTTAAATAGCCATTACTTTGTGATATAACGTATTCTACTTTTTGTTGGCTCTAATTGTTAGAAAGTACTTCTTAGATTGTGGCAAAAACCTGTCTTGTAGCATTCCCTAGAGTGGAGGGGATGGAATTCAGTATAAGGGTGAATAGGTTAGGGTTAAGTAGGAGCACAAACAGTTCATCCAGTAAGAGGAGAAAAGGTAGAGTTTTTGGGTAGAACTAAGTCTGTAGGTATGATGGAAGAAAATACAGATATTCTCTTCATATTCCATTTTGTCTGTGATCATGGGTACAAAGTTAGCCCAGAATGAAGATGGGGTAGGCAGTTCTAGGAGGAGTGAAGTTGTCTGGCAGTAGGAGGGAATGGTTTAAAGAAATGTGGCAGTATTGCCAGGCAGCATTGCCAAGGGCCCACTTGAGGTTAGCTTCCAGAAGAGCTGAATTTACTTAGTTGGGGTTTTGCCAGGCGATTATAAAAGAGGGGGAGAAGGGCAAGAGAATTGAGGATGAATCAAGAGAATGATAATAGTGAACCATGGAATCTAAGGTGAATGAGAGGAAGGAGAATACAGATGGAGGGAATGGGTTTGAGGGACAGTGAGAGGAAGTGGTAAGATTACTTTGTTACAGTCTTTGTGGGCTCGAATGTTTTTTGAAATCAGGGTACTAGAAGGAATAATAGGAGGTAGGTACTTAATTAACATTAGGAAGGCAGTGTAGGTAGTAATGAAAAGGTCTAGAGGTTAGTTGGCATCTGGAGAAAACTAGGTATTTTAGTAGAATCATCTGCTACATGGACACCGGAACCATCAAGAATTAGAACAAGAATGGTATTAGTGAGAGACAGTGGACTGGGTGCTGAAAAACTCATAGAAGCTGTTGGAGAATTAACTTGATTCTATAAATGATTGCAACAAAGAAGAACAGGCAGTGTCATCTTTTGTTTGTAGACATCAAATAGTTTTCCAAGTGGATCTGTTATAGAACATAATTGTATTACATTCTTCGTATTTTGATGTACTTTTTTCATCAGTACAGGCTAAGATTTTACATTACTTTTTAAAAAATACTAAGGTATTTATTCATGAGCTCAGGAGCAATTTAAGTGTTTAAGGTCTTTTTCACATCTGCTGGAGCCAACATTAAACCCCGTTCTATACTTGAATATTGGAGTTTTTTAAATTTGACTGTAAGCTTTTATTTTTTTTTAATTTTATTTATTTATTTGACAGCGAGAGAGGGAAACAGGCAGGGGGAGTGGGAGAGGGAGAAGCAGGCTTCCCACAGAGCAGGGAGCCCAATGTGGGCTCAGTCCCAGGAACCCAGGATCATGATCTGAGCTGAAAGCAGGCGCTTAACAGCTGCCACCCAGGGGCCCTTGACTTTAAGCTTTTAAAGTGTGGATTCCCTTTTGTTCATTTTAGCTCTTGATTATATTTTGAGTTTTGTTTTTATGGTTATCTTATTAGGGATATGTGTTGGCTCTCAGCATATTTGGATTATTGAAATTAATCCAAATCCAGCAGGATTTTGAAATTCTGCTAAACTCCTTATTTACAGACATTGTTGTTTGAAAAATATTACTCTAAATCATTTATAAGATGCTTGATGGGCTGTGGTCCTTAACCTAGTCTTCTAAAAGTTGTACTGGGTAGTCAGCCAATTTCAGATTCTCTTGTACAGTTCGCTGGTTTTTAGTTTTGTCAACATGTCAACAAGAATATGATGAAAAACTTGGGTCCTTTTATGAAGTCATGGTACAGGAAATGAGTTTAGTTCAACTGTAGGTTTTCCTCAGTGAAATTTTGGTGTACCAAAAATAATTACCATTTTTCCTTTTTGAAAATGAGTATAACATTTACAAGTTAGTCATTTTCTGTTGCTTTTGTTCTCCGTGGCTTTTAAAAATCAGCTATGGTAGCTGGGAAATTTTTATCTATGAAATAATCTCTTATAACTAGAAACTTGGGCTCACTTAAAACCGTTCTTTTCATTGTCTTACCCACCTCAGCCTTGAAGTCTCTCTTGACAGTGTTTATTCTGTTGTTTCATTTTCAGGATAATATTGAAGAAGGTGTTAATAAAATGGGAATACCCTCTGTCTTATATTGTCTGTTAACATTTTATTTTCTGGGCAGTAGAGGTCTACTCAGACATTAGTCTTTTTCTGAATATTTTAAAAAGCTCATGCCCCATAGTCTCTTAATAATGGTCTCATATCGGGGCGCCCGGGTGGCTCAGTTGGTTAAGCGGCTGCCTTCAGCTCGGGTCATGATTCCAGGGTCCTGGGATCAAGCTCTGCATCGGGCTCCCTCCTCAGCGAAGAGCCTGCTTCTCTCTCTCCCCCTCTCCCTGCCGCTCTGCTTACTTGTGCTCTCTCTCTAGCTCTCTGTCAAATAAACAAATAAAATATTTAAAAAAATAATAATAATGGTCTCATATCTTACCTTTCTTAGAACTCTTTGAAATCTGTTGTCCTAAAGTCCTAAGGTACATGTTTCTATTACCTTCTGTTCTATTTCTTTACTGTTTACAATTTTTAAGATGACGTCATTCATTTAGTGAAATTTCCCTCCTCAAAATTCAGGTCCTTTTACTTCATAGCAAATTCCTGCTTTACTGTTTGGAACTGAATTCTGAAGAGCAGTTCCCTTTTTAAAAATTTTTTAAATTTATTTATTTGACAGACAGAGATCACAAGTAGGCAGAGAGGCAGGCTGAGCAGAGAGCCTGATGCAGGGCTCCATCCCAGGACCCTGGGATTATGACCTGAGCCGAAGGCAGAGGCTTAACCCACTGAGCCACCCAGGAGCCCCAATGAATAGCAGTTCTTTTATTTGCTGGTGGATAAGAACACAGGCTTTGGATCAGATAAACCTAGATTGGAATTTAGGTTCTGCCACTTCTTAGCTCTGTGACATTTGGGAAGTTACTTAACCTTTCTATGTCTTTGTTCTTGGTTTGCAAAATAAGGGTCTGTGAAGACTTAAAAAGAGGATTCATGAAAAAGAACTTTATCCAGGGCCTGGTATGAAGAAGCAAGCACAACAGATACCAATTGCTGCTTGTTTCTTCTCTTCTGGGAGAAGAAATTACTTTCGTGATTTAATCAACAATAATTGTACTTGGGATAATTCATAGCCTACAGTGTTTTCACTCTACAAAAACTATTGTAGTAGAAAGCTCTGTCACTGTCTCCAGCTTCTGTGGCAGCTTTGCAATTTATATTAGAAAAGTATCACCTGACTTACTCCTTTTGTCTCCATCCAAATGCTCTCTACCACTTTGGAGGAGACTGGATGTAGTAGGTAGTGGGACTTGTCCAGGACAAGATTATGAATGTGGAGGAGTTACCAGTAAATAAACATAGATTTAAGGAAAGAAATGAGGTAAGTGGTGGGTTCCTGGTGAGGTCTGAGGATGGGAAACCAATTAAAAACATGGCAGGGTGGAGTTGGGACAGTCATTGGCAAACAAACCTGTTGGAAGACCGAGGTTAGAAACTTCTGGTAGGCAGCAATCAGCAAAATGATGGGTGAGTAGGTATTTCTTCTGAGATGTAGATTTGATGAGCAAGCTGCCAAGGGTGACCTGAAGCAACTGGTACTATCTGGGCTCCTCTGTCAGTTGGCTGAAGCACTGTTTCATAAATTTCTGTAAAAGTTTGTGTGTGTGTGAATATATATATGTTCACACACGCATATAACTTTATTATGTACAAAGCTATTCCTTTTTCCTTTCTGTAGCTTCATTAGATAAGTTTTCTTTATTTTGAATGAGGCTAACCCACTGGTATTCTCTAGTGAATTCCAAATCTGAGTGATATCTTTTTACTTCCATGTATGAAGTAGTTGTCGCTTATTCAGTACTTGCTGTATGCTACCCATCATACCAGGCCTTCATAGATTCCTCATCATACCAGGTCTTCATAGATTTCCTACCCTAGCTTCCTGACCTGAACTGGCTGCCACAGCATTTACTTTTAATTTTTACAGATGTGGCCTGCCATATATTTATTTTAGTTCCTGTGTTCCTTGATATTACAGTGCAGTGGTTACGAGTATGTCCTTAAAACCAAGATTGTCTAGGTCTGCATCCCACCTCCACCTTGCTAGCTGTGGAAGTAGAGCAAATTAATATCTCTTTTCTCAGTTTCATCATCTATAAAATGGGACTACAAATAATACCTTTCATAGAGTCTGGTGAGGATTTAATACATTAATATATGAAAAATTATAAGAGCCTGGCACATTGTATGCTCTCAAATGTTAGCAGTAATAATTTTATATGAGGACTTCTAATTTTCGTAGCCTTCTCCTAATTAAGCCTTCCCCTTTGCTGATGAGGACTTTTCCTCATGAGGAAGTTCAGAGAGAGAGGTGACTTTTCTAAGGTGTTATGCTTTTGTCTTGCTTACTAAATGTTTTGTTTTTGTTTTTTTTTTTTACAAAGTATGAGAGAAGTTATACATACCCATAGTTGTCCATCTCTGTTTCTCACAAGAACAGCAAAAGTAGATTTTAAAGAGGGAGGGAGGCTTTAGAAAGATGCTCTGTATTAGTAATGGCAATAATCATTCAGCAAACATTTGAGTTCCTGCTAAGTGCCAGGCACTGTACTAGGAGTTAAGCACAGTCCTGGCCTCAAGGAGTTTAAAAGCTGGTGAAGAAGGCAGATAAGTAAATTGAAAGTTGCAGTATGCAGCTATAAGTATAATGTTTAAATGTAGATTCTGTAAGAACACATAGAATGAAATGACTTGTTTGTATAGTTGGGTTGGAGGAAAAAGCCAAGTCTAAGCTAGTCTTAAAGGATGCACAGAGTAGGAAGGAAAGGAGGTTGCCTTCCAGATAGAGATGATACATGGACCAAGGCATACCCATGAGAAGAGTATCACAATGTGGGGAACAGCATACATTATGGTGTAACTGAAGTTGAATGTGAAATCGTCAGATTTGATCATTTTAACCAACACAAAACAGCAGCGTAAGAGGAAGGATGGTGGAGGTGGCAAACAAGAGGCAGGACAAAAAGTGTCTAATTTTACCTGATTACAGATGTATGCTCTAGGATTTTCAAATAGATGAATATAATTTTTTTTAAAGATCCATGCTTAAGATATGTACATTTCATTGTATATAAATTTTACCTCAGGAATAAAACTGGAAAATGAATCCTAGTTAAAGATACTTGCATGGTGAAGTGTTTAGGTGAAAGTGTACTGAAGTCTAGTTTACTTTGAAATACATTAAAACATGAGATGAATGAATAGATACATGATTAAACAGTAAAATTATAAAATGTTACTGGTAGAGTCTTGGTGGAGGTTATAGGAATGTACACTGTAAAATGTATTCCCTTTATCTGTATGTTTAGATTTGTTAGGGATAAGTCAGTGTAGAAAGTAAAGTCAGGGATGGATTTGAAGGTAGGCAAAAATAATTTTCCAAATTGATAAAAGTGTTTGTCAGACTACTTAGTGATAATGTGGCATTAGGAAATCACCTAATCTGTTGTTGTTAATATCTTTTGCACCAAGAGCGGAGTGTAGATCATGGCAGGTGTTCAGTAAGTATTTGAATGTTGAATATTCCATAATCTCTGTAATCACGTGAAATTTTTAAGGTTATGCTTGAAGTCCCCAAAACAAATGTATGCATTTGCTGTCCTTGGTGCCCTCATATAATATAGTTTCACATAACCACAGGTATACTGTAATATCCTAACTGTAATATACTGTAGTATACTGTAATGCCCTCATATAATATAGTTTCACATAACCACAGGTATATTGTAATATCCTATACTATAATATAGGTATATGCTACTAAATGTTGATCTTGAGAGAGTCACTTGTTAATTCACCCACCAGTATTTTATGGATATAACAAAAATTTGGATTTTTTTCTTAGGTTTTATTTGATTGATAAAAACATCCTTAAGCAGAAGGTATGACATTGATATACTGAGAACAATTATGTGTAAAGGGAGTGAATTGGAAAGGGTCTATACTTCGTTCTCCAGATAATTTCTTGTTCAGAAATACTGCAGTGCCATCTTTTTTGTTTTTTTTTTAAGATTTTATTTATTTATTTGGGAGAGAGAGAGAGAAAGCACGAGTGGAGAAAGGTCAGTGGGAGAAGGAGACTCCCTGCCGAGTAGGGAGCCCTATGTGGGACTCGATCCCAGGACTCAAAGATTGCGACCTGAGCTGAAGGCAGTCGCCCAACCAACTGAGCCACCCAGGAGCCCTATTTTTTTCAAGGTGGGTTGGGGGAGGGGTTAGAGGTGGAGAGAAGAGTCTTAAGCTGACGCGGGGCTCAATCTCAAAACCCTGAGATCATGACCTGAGCCTAGTCGAGTCGGATGCTTAACCTATTGAGCCACCCATGTACCCCCAATGCCTCCTATTTTAAATGTGATTTGAGTTCTCTTAAAATTTTCCCAAGGAAATAAGTACCTTCTTTTTCTCATTAATAAATGTGCCTATAGGAAATTTGTTAATATCTAGTTAGTTGTGCCCAGTGTTGAGATCCTTCTTTTTCTTTTTTAAATAATAAGTTTTAAAAAAGAATTGGCTTGCTTACTAATTTACTTAGCATGTGCTATTTCCAACAGAGGCTTCTCTTTTTACTTTGGCTTCCTCTGGAATACAGTGTAACTTCATAGTACCTTTTTGTCAACAAAACCAAAACAGAACAAACCAAATCCCTGAAAACTGAAAATCAAAAGGTCACCTTGTCACATATTTTTTTTTTCCCCTTCAGCCTAGTAAAGGAAGATACTTAGATATTAAAGACAGATCTTGGAGTACATACAGGGCTAGAACAGTTTCATTTTTAATTTCACAGGTATTCTGAAAATTTATTTTTGAGGTACACCTGGGCTTGGTGCTTGTATAAGGAGGACTATTGTATGGGTTTGTGAGCTTTACCAGTTAACCACTAATCAGCAATCCTATTTGTAAAGATGAATTCATATCTGTATGTAAATTTGCAGAAAATTTTTCCTTTGGGATCACATAAAGCTTTGGAATACAACGTAAAGACATTTGAGATGTGCACTTATGTAAGAGATGATCATAAACAATGGAATTTAAAATTTGTGTTTCATTGACCACAGAAAGTAATCTGGGCTCGAGAGAAAGTAATTGCTTAGGTGGATCATCACTAAGAAAATTACTATTAACATATTCTTATTTCTCTTCAGTCTTTATAAATCGTTCGTGAACTAAACTTCAACTTTTATGGTGTCTTTCATATTCATGTAAAGAAAATCTGAATCTTCTTCATCATTCTTCCCACAGCTATTTTCTTTCTTTCTTTTTTTTTTTTTTAAGATTTTATTTATTTATTTGACAGACAGAGATCACAAGTAGGCAGAGAGGCAGGCAGAGAGCCGGATGTGGGGCTCAATCCCAGGACCCTGGGATCATGACCTGAGCCGAAGGCAGAGGCTTTATTTAACCCACTGAGCCACCCAGATGCCCCCCCACAGATATTTTCTTGTGCAGATTTTATTATGCATGGATGAGAAACAGAGTTAATATCTATGTGAATTTTTTCAGTGTTTTCTAAGACTCTTAAGTAGTTTCTTATGAGTCTTTTTTAGAGGACAAAAAATTCCCCTGAGGTATAAAATCTCTTATTTTCTCATAGATGTACTTGAAGGATACAATGGAACAATATTTGCATATGGACAGACATCCTCTGGGAAGACACACACAATGGAGGTAACATTTTATAATCTGTACTTGCCATGTAGTTTGCGGAATAGAGTGTGTATTCATTCATTATTTGTGAAATTATTTTATCATGCTTAAACATATTTACTCTTTATTGGATTCTCTGGTACATATAATATACAGATAACCTCATTGTTGTAATCTAATCAGTCCCAGAGTTCAAATAATGACATTATACACTTGAAATCCTATCTTAACTTTGTTTTGTTAGCATAACCACAAAAGAGCACTTTAGAATTAATGGAAATTTCCTGTTACTTTATAATGGAAATTTGAAATTTTAAATGTTTCATATGTTTTCATTTCTATTCAGAGCTATTAATTCTCTCCGAATATCTGCAACTCTTTAATAAGAATGTCTCCACAGTTTTTGGTGCTGTTATTAGTAAGATGTGGTCCTGCCTAAACTTTCATATAGAAAACAGCCTATTCGTTATCTTATGCTGCTGCTACAAAGCATCTGCTTTTATCATTTATCTGAGCATTCTGTCTAAAGTGACTGCTTATTTTAGTGTAATTCATATTACTTATTCCATAAAGTTACAGAGAACAAAGACATTTCTAGCATTTATGTTGATTTGACTTGAAGGAACAATAAAGACGTGGGAAGAAACGGACTAAAACCTCTTTCGAAAATAAGTTTATTGCACAAGCATAGAAAATCTAAATCCAAAAGAAAAGGCTTAGAACCATTGGTAACCCTTATTGTTGACATGCAGTATTTAAATTACCAATGTGTAATACTTGAATTGGATTTTTTGGGGGGTATTTGTAGAGCTGTTTTCACCAAAAAATGGCCACAATTACAATTACTGTCCCTTGTTTACTGCAAATTGTAGATTGAAAATTTTTACTTTTAATTCATATTTCTTTGAGTCTCATTTCATTTTCTGTTTAGGGTAAACTTCATGATCCAGAAGGCATGGGGATTATTCCAAGAATAGTGCAAGATATTTTTAATTACATTTACTCCATGGACGAAAATTTGGAATTTCATATTAAGGTATAAGACTTGGGGAAAGATTGTGTTCTGTTTTACACCTAGAATAATTTTACTCCAAGAAATAATAAATGTTCTTTCTTTTTAAAAAAGACAGTTTTGGACAGTTACAGTGGAAAGATCATTAGGGTTAGTAAACTGGGGTTCTTCATACCATTAGATGACCTTAAACAGGGTCACAAAATCTCTTTTTTGTCTTCACCTCCTTCTCTATAAAAGTGAAGGAGTTTGTTACTAAACTCAAAGGTGTTTGTTGTTGTTGTTGTTGTTGTTCTAGTAAAGGTTTTATTTTTAAGAGAGAGAGACTGCAAGTGGAAGTGGGGGCAGGGAGGCAGAGGTAGAAGTAGACACCCTGCTGAGGCCCTGGGATCTTGCATGACCTGAGCCAAAGGCAGCTGCTTAACTGACTGAGCCACCCAGGTGCCCTGAACTCAAAGGTTCTTACTGTTCTCATGAGTCTAATTCATTTTAGATGAAGATACATAATGGAAATTGCTATTTAGTTACATGAGCAGTTTAGAGAGTTCATACCTTCCGGGTAGAACATGAGCTGTGGCTGAGTTGTTGATAACTCTGTCCCCTAGTCTGGACCCCATTAACTTTAATGAACAAGTGAATAAATTATTTTAAAATTTTAATCTTTTTTCCTTCATTTCTTTACCTTCAGGTTTCATATTTTGAAATTTATTTGGATAAGATAAGGGACCTGTTAGATGGTAAGTTACAGTTTTGCTCTTAGCATTTTAAAATAGCATGTTACCTTTTTTTAATAGTCGATATGAAATCATTTCTAAGAGACCTATATGAAATTGACTTAAATTGTAGGAAACAGGTATATTTTAAAGTTCCTTTAAAGTTAGTTGAATGCTTTTGACTTGTTGAATAACTTATTTAAAGCACATATTTATGCGTGTTTGTGTTTCTTAGGTAGTAATTAGAGAATTGAATTGAATTACAGTTAGAGGTCGTGAGTCCTTGTCTTCTGTCAGCTGTCAGTTAGATTCACTGCCCTCAGACAGACTATTAAACCACTCTGGGTTATTGTTATTTTCAAATGTGTGTGGTAGAGGTTGCATTGGACCTAAAATTCTATATTGCTCAATTAGTTTCTATTTAAATCTCCTACTGTTTCTGGAGTCTTTTTTTAATAGCGATATGTTGTATTTTTAAAATTTATCTATTATTAGGTCACTTGGGAAAGGAAACAATCAATTGAATAAGCTATTTCATAGCTAGTTTTTGAGTTGAGGAGAATGTTGCTAATACTCTTCATTTTTCTTTTTTCAGTTTCAAAGACCAACCTTTCAGTTCATGAAGATAAAAATCGAGTTCCCTATGTAAAGGTACTTATAAAATAATACAGAATGCTTGTTTAGAAAAGCCCTGTGATAAACAATTTTAAGACTATTGACATACTTCAAAAAATATTTTATAGGGGTGCACAGAGCGTTTTGTATGTAGTCCAGATGAAGTTATGGATACCATTGACGAAGGAAAGTCCAACAGACATGTAGCAGTTACAAGTAAGTAGGATGTTTATTAACACTAGTTAAGGTACAAAGCTGCCTTAAAATGTCTTTATGAAGTTGATTAACTGTATTAGATTTCTATGTAAAGTAATGCTTTAGAAATTATTAGTAAGGGAAAGCCATGTTTGTTTATAGTTGTTTGTGTTATTTCATTGCAGATATGAATGAACATAGCTCTAGGAGTCACAGTATATTTCTTATTAATGTAAAACAAGAGAACACGCAAACAGAACAAAAGCTGAGTGGAAAACTTTATCTGGTTGATTTAGCTGGTAGTGAAAAGGTAAAATCTTTATATTCTGGTAGATACTTAAGCATTTTTAAAAACTTCTGCTTGAATTTGGACTTGGACATTATTCATTGTTAACATCTTAAAAACTATATAAAATTGGATTTGCTAATATTTCTGAGAGTTAAAAGCTTTGATGACAATGCTTAACCAGTTCCAAATTACTATCATTTGTGCCATAGTCCAGTTCAGTCAATAGGTGTTACCTTTGACTTAAGGTGTATGATTTTATTGAGAATTTTGTTTAGCATATATTGTTATAAATTTTATTAGGTATCCTTTTCCTTAATTTTGATACCTGTTACCATACTGGCTGTGGGCTCCTTGTGAAAACTGGTAACTATCTATTAGTCTTCTCTGGTTTGGTTGTACCCCTTTCTTTCCCTTGGTTGATTATTTAATAATTACAGACTATACCATATACCAGTCTGATTCTAGTTTATGCGAAAATTAAAATAAGTTCAAATATTTTAATAATTGATCTCTGTAATGATTTTGGCCGTTTTGCTAATTTTTCTTCTGATTAAAATGACATGCCTGTTCCCTTTTACTTAAGTCTTAAACACATCCTTCAAAGCCTGTCTTTGATTTTTATGAATTCTGGGAGGTGTTTCTTTGGCCAATATTGCTAACATACTATTTTATTCTATCTTTAACATATGTATCTCACATCTTTTTAAAAGACGTTTGCTTTTATATTTAAATTCAGTCTGTAATAGTTACAATATCAACATTATACTTTAGCAAATGTTAAAAGCTTCCCCTTTTTTAATGAAGCAGAGGGGGTTAATAAATAGTAAATGGCAAATGTACATGTAAATTTGTTATTTTCAAGAGCACAGACTTGAAATAAAATTTGTTATCTCTTTATTGACTTTCTTGTCATGCACCTAGTTACTTGACCAAGTTCTCAGAAGTCTAATGCTCAAGAAATAGTGATAGCTTAGAATAAATACTTGGCAAATAAAATCATGAAGGTTTTCGTGTTGTTGTTTGTTGGCTATTGATGACCTGAACTTTTTGAAGAAGCTTAAAATTTTGTTTCATTCTTTTGAAATCGTATGTGTAGGTTAGTAAAACTGGAGCTGAAGGCGCTGTGCTGGATGAAGCAAAGAACATCAACAAGTCCCTTTCTGCTCTTGGCAATGTCATTTCTGCTCTGGCTGAGGGGAGTGTGAGTGCACATCTTCTCTTTTCTTGTTGTTGTCTTCTGGGATCCATATGTGTAGATGCACGGATGTTTGAGTGAAAGATTCGGTGTGTTTGAATCAGTGTGTGTGAATTAGTTGTCTTACAGGAATTTATAGTATTAGTATGTAGCTCTTAGTTCTCCTCTTAATATTAATCTGTTAAAATAACCAAAATCCCTTTGTAACTTACTTAAAGTGTAACATATTTCTGTAACAAATTTTATTTCTTAGAAACCCATTGGTCTTCTATGTTTTTTATGTTCATAGACATATGTTCCATATCGAGATAGTAAAATGACAAGAATCCTTCAAGACTCATTAGGTGGCAACTGTAGAACCACTATTGTAATTTGCTGCTCTCCATCATCGTACAATGAATCTGAAACAAAATCTACACTCCTGTTTGGTCAAAGGTTAGTTGTTAAAATACAAAGTGTAAATGACAGGTCTTTTGTTTATTAAGTCTAGGAAAATGCAGGTAGGTATTATTCAAATCAGTGCATTTTGTAATATGCTAGGCAACTTTTTAATTGGGAGATAATGTAACAAGGTCCATTTTTAAAGCTGCTTGGATTTGAATTAAGTTTTAGTACATATGAAAGTCAAATTTATATGAGAACTTTAATTAAGCATTAAAGAAAATAAGCATTTAAATCAGATAATAAAGAAAAGCTTGACAAATATAATCCTGTATTAGCCTGTTGACATATGTGATAGGTTTGCATAATGGGAGAGCCAAATATGAATTGCTTAACCTGGGAAAGTCAGTAGTGGGGATTTATCTTTGACCTTCAACAGTAATTCTTTTTTTAAATAATTTATCCTTGCAAATGAATTGGGAAAATAGGGGCCCTTGTTTTTTTTATCCTCATCAGGTTTTTTTGTTTTTGTTTGTTGTTTTTTTTAAGCTATTCACAAATTTGAGAACTGACACAAATTTATTTAGCTTGTGAATAAGCACTATAGTAATTACGGTTCTTTGTGTTTAGTTATAAAGATAATTAACAAGAATAGTCAAATTGCATAACCAAAAATACATATATATATATATACACACACACACACACACACACCCCTTTATATATATGTAACACCTATGGATATCAGTTGAAAATATTTAATTCTAATTACATTTTTTTCCCTGCAATTACTTCTCTTAGGGCCAAAACAATTAAGAACACAGTTTGTGTAAATGTAGAATTAACTGCAGAACAGTGGAAAAAGAAATATGAAAGAGAAAAGGAAAAAAATAAGACCCTGCGGAATACCATTCAATGGCTTGAAAATGAACTCAACCGATGGCGTAATGGTAATAATTTATGAATATGTCATTTAGAGTATGTTGAATATGAATGTAAAGCTATTTTATAAATTTGAGACTAATAACAAATTTAAGTAAAAATAACAAACATATCCATTTTTACTTTTTAAGAATTAGGAATCATCAATTACAAATTAATAAAATCTTTTAAGTCCTAATTTTATCTGTAATGATAAATAGAGGCACAGAGGCCATCTTGGAAGCTATAGTAGTCACAGATGGCAAGGTTCCTACAGTAGGGTGGAAGCAATAAAATTTGTAAGATTTGGCGACTGGATTTAGAAGATGGAGGTGAGTCAAAAGTAATTGCAACTTCTCAAATCTCAGACTGAGCTGATAAAGTTGGTGAGAGCTGTTGAAATTGAATAAAATTTAATTCATTTTAGACAGGTGGATAGTTTTATTAACTATGCTTTCTCTTATTTTAGGAGAGACAGTGCCTATTGATGAGCAGTTTGACAAAGAGAAAGCCAACTTGGAAGCTTTTGCAGTAGATAAGGATATTACTGTTACCAATGATAAACCAGCAGCTACAATTGGAGTTACCGGAAACTTTACTGATGCTGAAAGAAGAAAGTGTGAAGAAGAAATTGCTAAATTGTACAAACAGCTTGATGACAAGGTAGGTATTGTTCATGTTCTAGTTTGTTTTAGAATGTTATGGCATAGGTATTTTTATTTTTAATTTTAATTTTTATGTATATAGGTCCCTTGGACCTATATACATCTTCTTTGGTTTCTGTTAACCTTATGAAAATCATTGTAAAGTTGACCCTCAGATAACACTGGTTTGAAATGCATGGATCCACTTAGATATGGATTTTTACAATAAATGCAGGTAGGTATTATTCAAATCAGTGCATTTTGTAATATGCTAGGCAACTTTTTAATTGAGAGATAATGTAACAAGGTCCATTTTTAAAGTAAATACAGTAATATAAATATATTTTTCTTATGATTTTAATAACATTTCTTTTCTTATGATTTTAATAACATTTCTTTTCTCTAGCTTGCTATATTAAAATATGAATTATATTTAAATATAAAAAAATTTATATAAAATATATAATTACAAATATAAAATATAAATGTAAAATTAAAAAATTTAAATATAAATATATATAATACATTAACAAAAAATATGTATTAGTTGTTCATTGGTAAGCTTTCCATTCAACAGCAAGCTAGTAAGAGTTAAGTTTTTGGTAAGTCAGAAGTTATATGTGAATCTTTAACTCTGTTGTGGTGGGGGATGGTCAGCGTCACTAACCCTCTCATTGTTCAAGGGTCATCTGTATTAATAAAAATACAAAATCACAGTTTCTGTTTTAGTGCAGAAACTGAGACATAATTATTTTTTTCCCTTTAAAAGAATTTTCAAAAGGAAATTTGGCATTGGGTCATTGGAGAGCCTTAATGAAACAATTTCTTAGAATCAGGGATCTAAGGACTCAAAGGTGATGCAGGAGATTAGAGAGGGAACAAAATAAAGTGGAAATAGTGTTTTCCTGTTTTGATTATGTCCGTTAGTAGTGTGAAAAATAAATTATGAACCAGAAAAAGAAGGGGAAAATAAGAGCAGTGGAGAGACTAGAAGTAAATAGTTCTGGTTTTGGTTTTAGGTGATATTTTATATGTATTTTAAATAGATACAGCAGTTTTGGAATAACTGCCTGGCCATAATTTTCAGTAATAGATTAAAATGTTTATTGTTTTTGCATTTAAACTATTTTTTTTTTTATAAACAAGCCTTTTTAAATTGGGTGATGTTACAATTATTATTTGAAAGAAATTCCATCTATTTCAACTTTTTTCTAGGAGATTGAAATAAGCTATGCTGAATTTAGAGAAACAGTTTTGAAATATTTTGGTTGGGGGAATAGTAATCTTACTATTTGTATTAGAAAATAGAATTTGGTTGTGAGCTACTTCGTTAACTTCCTACTTTAAAATTCTAGGATGAAGAAATTAATCAACAGAGCCAATTGGTAGAGAAACTGAAGACACAAATGTTGGATCAAGAAGAAGTAAGTTGAATACCTTACATACTGCTTTCAGAAGAGCTTTATAGTTTGACACTATTATTTAAACATAAAAGAACCTACAGAGCTTAGAATATACTGGAGTACATCAACAAGTTTTTTTAATATTCCTGTGCTTCACTGTGCATATGATACATCATTGGATTAAAGCAAAGATTCACTTCCTCTTAAGGTTTTTCTGTTTTTTTCAGTTTGAGTTCTAACTGGAGGGGAGAGAGGAAACTTTTTTCAGTATTCTTTTCATATAGTTCTACTGGAGTTTTTAACTCTGTCTTCTACTTTCCTTTCTTGACATACAGTGCTGTTTTACGTCCTTACTCTCCCCCAAAACATGTCTTATTAATTCTTGAGAAAGACTTACCACACTGGGCTGGGATAACTGTAGACTGTTCCTCCCTTTATGGAGAGTATTTCCACATGTAAATGAAGGAAGAAATATTAAAAACACAATGTTGTATTGTTGTTCCTCACTTTAAACACACATATAGGTTTAAAGGGATATTAAAGAAAGAAAATAACTTATCTCTGAATTGCTTGGACCTCTCTTTAATAATTGTATAATATAAGGTATGATTGAGAATGTCATTGAATGAAACATTTTTTACTCCTCTCTCACCATGTCTTCCTTCATCAAACCTCTTCATTTTTGCCTTCTTTACTTTGATAATAGTTCTTTCAAGTTCCTCTTCTCTAGTTTGTCACCTAGTTTAGACCCTCAGTTTATCTTATCTGGCAGAGCAGGGGGATAATTTAAAAATGGTACTTCATTCAAGGTTTGTTTTGGAGATGGAGGCAAAGATTATATAGCTTCAATAAAGAAGAGATAGCCACCATCAGTCAACTTAGTCCTGGTCACATCATCTTTGTACTTCAGTTATGGCATGTTTTCTCAGAAAGGTCACTAGTAAACATCTACACAATTCTTCATTATAATATTCTGTGCTGTGTGTTATAAGACATTTAACATGCATGACCCCACTTCTAAGTGCCATTAGCATTCTGCACCATTAGAGATACTCCTACAAATTTCCAGATGCCTCTCCCACTTAAAAGCCACTGACCATAGACGTTTGCAGTATTCTGCTAACTAGCCTCTTGGCTTCTCTGCAGTTCAAATTTTGTATGTTGATGCTAAGTTTTCCTGAGGCATAGCTCAGGTGCCACCCCTTTTTGACCAAAGAAAATCTAAACTTTAAAGCATGCCTTCTAAACATCTACTAATTTCTTTTTCTATGCTCATTATTCATGAACCTAGTATGCCTTTTCCTTTCCATTAAATTAATTTGCATATGACTAAAGTTGGCCAATTCTTGCCACCTTCTTCATGAATAACCTACAGAAATACTCTCTGTTTTAAATACTACCAAGCATACATAAATACATACATACGTATTGCCAAGCACTTTGTCACGTCCTCTCCCTCCTTTATGGCTCTTAGTTAACATTCCGTCATGTATTGCATCTATTTTATGTCCCTTTTTTTCTTCTACTAGATTCTTCAAAGACAAAATCTTTTTAATTTTCTTGCTGTCTCCCACAGTGTCTATCACAGTGCCTGCATAGAGTAGTCAGTAAATCTGTTGAATGAATAAGTGCTCACACAGTTAATAGCATCCACATTTTATTCTTTGTTAAACTCGTATACCTTTTTAAAACCTGTATACTTTTACTCTTTCATGTAGCTTTTGGCATCTACGAGAAGGGATCAAGATAACATGCAAGCTGAACTGAATCGTCTGCAAGCAGAAAATGATGCCTCTAAAGAAGAAGTAAAAGAAGTTTTGCAAGCCTTAGAGGAGCTTGCTGTCAATTATGATCAGAAATCTCAGGAAGTTGAAGATAAAACTAAGGAATATGAATTGCTTAGTGATGAACTAAATCAGAAATCGGTAGGTTATAATTCTGTTTTCTTCATATTTTAGTAAAAGTATTCTTAATTGAAATTAACTAGCTTCTTTCTAGTAAGCTTAATACTGATAGTATCGGTTCTTAAGGCATTCTAGCCTCAACTTCAGTTCCTCCTTTATATAAAACCTTAGAGGTGAAGGAAGAGCGTTATCTTTGAGTTCCTGAAGATCTGTTAAAAGGTAATTAAAATGCATTTGAAGACTTGTTGGCTATTCCCAATAGTCTAATGTTAAAGGAAAAATAAGTTTAACTTCTCATTGTTCAATAATGTTATTAGATGACTGTTAAGAAATGTGCACATAAAAATAAGAGAAGGAGATACAACTTTCTATAAGTTGTATTACATTCCCAGCCCCTGGCACAGAGCCTACCTAGCACAGTGAAGGCTCTTCCTAGCGATTCTGCAATAAATTAGGATCTTTGTTATTGCTATAAGACAGGATTTGCCACCCTCCTAGAGTGATGCCAAAGGTAGTATATAACTGTGATTGTGACTACTATACTTGAAGTAGCATCATGGAAGAACTCTCTTACTAACATTTTATTACTGTCAATACCAACTTCTTGTCCAGAAACCACATCTAGAGTTGAACTCAGTGTCAGTGTTCACTACTTATTTCCCTATCCATGTTCACCTATTTAAAGAAAAGCAGTCAATACTATTTTTAAAGGTTTCATACCCCTGATGAGAAATTCATTTTTCCCTATTAATCTCCAAAGTTACAATTTAATAGCATGGAGGTCAAGGTGCCCTTATAACTCTTACTGAGTTTGCATTATTAGCACATCTAATTACTGTTTGGAAGAACAACAGGAATTTCTTACAACTCTAAGCTGTAACTTGGTCTTCGGTCACCAGTTTCAGTCTTTATGACCGTTCTTTCTGTGTCTCAGTTACAAAGCTAAATCTGTCAGCACTACATTGGTAGTAGAAGTTAGAAACCTTACAGTGTTCTGTATCTTTTTATATGTGTACAGCATTGCTACTCAGTTGTTAGAGAAAATACCTGGTGATTTAGATATTAATGCACACTACCTTATGAGACTTGAAAGGTATGCCTGGTATTTTAGATTAAACTGGGTGGACACACTACTGGTACTCAGAAACTTAGGGAAATGTCCAGAAGAAACAACAAACTGAAATAATGGCATCTTTATTAAAAGCAACTGCATTTTTTTTTCAAGATTTTATTTATTTTTTTTTCACAGATAGAGATCACAAGTAGGCAGAGAGGCAGGCGGTGGGGAAGCAGGCTCCCCACTGAGTAGAGAACCCAATGCAGGCTCCATCCCAGGACCCTGGGATCATGACCTGAGCCAAAAGCAGAGGCTTTAACCCACTGAGCCACCCAGGCTCCCCAAGCAGCTGCAATTTTTAGTGCAACTTACTGATTTTTAATATCTGACCTGTGGTATAATGATTAGTTTTAATATGGTCAAATTGGGTTGGACTTTTCAAAATTATGGTGACTTTGTTGCTGGTAAAGCAGCTATTATTTTAAACTTAATTAAACTCAGTAATGCTACTTCATCACTATCTCCTAGATAATTGCTTATGTCATAATATCAAAGAAGCAGTAATTATCAAGTGGACTTTTCCAATGACTGTGTATATAGAAAATAGATAAAACACACAAACCATCTAGAAAGTTCAGTTCTATTCTAACATTATTTTGCTCAGACTCTGTTTCCAAAGATAAGACATATACTATGGTAATAAAAGAAAATTCAATCTAATTATTTTGGAAGTTCCTCACCTCTAGGTAGAAAACATAACCCAGTCTCAAAAATTAGTGAAATGGGGTGATGCTTGGGTGGCTCGGTTGGTTGGGCAACTGCCTTCAGCTTTGGGATGGAGCCCCATGTTTGGTTCCTCCCTCTGCTTCTGCCGCTCCCCCTGCCTGTGTTCTCTTGCTCTTTCATTCTCAACTAAATAAATAAAATCTTTTTAAAAATATATAGTGAAATGGTACAGACTCTCTGGTTTTCAAAGAGCATAATCGGGCTACTTTACAGAGTCTGCTAGGTCTAAAATATTTTCTAAGTTTAAACTGCTAGCTATCCCAGAACTCAGTAGATCAGTTAGTTCAAAAAACTGAAAGTAGAAAATAATGCGTTTGTGAGCCCTGGGTGAACTGAAATACCTGTCAATATTTGAAGTAATCTTTCACTGACTAGCTTTAACTGTGCCTTTGTTTGGGGTTCTGTAAGGCAACCTTAGCAAGTATAGATGCTGAACTTCAGAAACTTAAGGAAATGACTAACCACCAGAAGAAACGAGCTGCTGAGATGATGGCATCTTTATTAAAAGACCTTGCAGAAATCGGAATTGCTGTAGGAAATAATGACGTAAAGGTAAGTTTACTAACCAAATACTAAGTATGATTATCAGTAGAGAACTCATACTTCTGTTTACTACTTAACTTTTACAAAGTTCTTTTCATACCCATTATCTCATTCAAAACAACAATGTGTAGTAGATGTAGGTATTAATTTCATTTTAAATAGGTGAGGAAAGAGGAAGAGAATATGAGATGCTCAAAAGCAGTATCATTTATTTGGATCCCTGTTTGGTTTTTTCTCTGCCATGTAAAGATTTTTCATTTAGAGATCATGTTAATAAATTACTGTACATGAAAGTATGTAACTGGGGCAACAGTGAAGATTAGCTCAGGGAGTTAACTCATAAATGAATTGGCCTGTGGTTGCTTTTAAATGTTTGAAAAGATAAAAAAGATGAGGACTACTAATTTTAAAGTTCTACTGTGAAAAATTTCAGACATGTAACAGTAGAGAGAATAATACCTTGAACTTCAGAGTTACTAGTAATCAAAATGTTGCAGTACCTATATGCCTTTTATTCTTTCTTATCTTTTTTTAGGATACTAACATTAGTTATGTTAGCACTGGGCATGTGATAAGAAGAAAAGATTAGTGACCTGGTAAATTTTAAAACTTAGACCAAAAAAAGCAAACTAAAACTCTTAACTGCAAACACATGTATATAATATGAAAGATTTGTATGTTGCAGTAGGTATTTGTTTGGACTTTTTCTTCTTGATTAAAGCTTAATTATGTAACAAAGAACAAACTTACACTAAGGTTTATTGCGACAGCCTACTAAGAATAAGATGCCCAGTTTAACAAGATTTGAAAATGAAATAAAAGTTTCCAATATGGAGTACACATTCCTTCTGTTAATTGTTATTCAAAGCTGCTGTGTTTTGATGGAGACAAGGATTCGTCTCCTAGTACATCATTTTTTAATGTTGGCTCATGCCATTGAGACAAAAGAAAAATGTTAAATACTGGGTGACTTACTCTTTCTTCTCTCCAGAATGTTCCATCTGAACATTGAGGGTGAACTAATGTGATAGAGCTATGTGGGACTCTTCGGGGATGGAAAAGTAAATTTACTTCATATCATTAAACACGAGATAGGTGTTCAAAAGTTGTTTATAGATTTGTGTCTTCTTATTTATTTATTTATTTATTTATTAAGATTTTATTTCATTTGAGGGACAGAGAGAATGAGCAGGGTGAAAGGGAGAAGCAGGCTCCCCACTGAGCCAGGAGCCTGACATGGGGTTCGGTCCCGGAACCCAGGGATATGACCTCAACCAAATGCAGATGTTTAGCTTTCTGAACCACTGATGCGCCCCGCAGCTTCTTTTTAGAAAAGTCTTTCCATTTTATGTTCAACTAAGTCTTAATTTAAGTGAAAAAATGGTAAATAGAAAAAGAGAAGTAATTGTTTCTTTTCGGTGGCAGCGCCATTGATAAAATACAGGTTCCTTGACTCCTGGACTGTTTTTTTCACTATACCATTATAGCATTTTGATCCAAGTCAGCCTTGCAAATAGGTTCTTTAAAAAAAAAAAAAAATGGGATTCTCAGTATTTTTGTCATTTGTATATAATTCTTTTCCTCTTAACATCATCATTAAGCATTGCTTTTGCTTTATTAATTTTGTGGTTTTTACATTATGATTCACTTTGTGTCGTATGGTTAATGGATTTTGACAGATGCAGGATACAAAACCACCATTACAGTATAGTTATATATAGAGAACAGTTTCACCTCCTTTACAAATTCCTTGTGCTTTTTGCCCTATTAACCCCTCTCCCCTGAACAACAGCCAGTGTGATCTTTTCTGGTATAGTTTTGCCTTTTTCAAAATACCATATAGTTGGAATCATACAGTATTTTTCATTTTCAACTGGCTTTTCTTAGCAACCTGCAGTTAAGTTATTTCATGGCTTGATAGCTCATTTCTTTTATCACCAGATACTCCACTGTGTGGATATACCAGTTTATCCATTCCTCTATCAAGGGCCATCTTGGTTACTTGAGGTCTTTGGCAATTACACATAAAGCTGCTATAAACATTTGTATGCAAATTTTCCTGTAGACATAACTTTTCAATTCAGTTGGGTAAAAATACCTAGGAGCATAATTGCTAGAACATATGTTAAGAGTTGGCTTTATAAGAAACCCCAAAGTGGCTGTAGCATTTTGTATTCCTGTCAGCAGCGAATGAGCGCTCTTGTTACTTCACATGCTGACAAGTATTTGATGTCATCAGTTTTTTGGTTTGAGAAGTATATGTATAGTGTTATCTTATTGTTTTAATTTGCAGTGGGATTGTTTGTTTTCTTATCTTGAGTTTTAAAGAGATCTCTGTATGTTTTGGGTAGCAGTCCTTTGCAGTAAGTGTTTTGCACATATTCCTCCCAGTCTATGGCTTATCTTTTCATTCTCTTAACAGCGTCTTTTACAGAGCAGAAGTTTTTAATTTTAATAAAGTTTAGCTTACAAATTTTTTCTTTCAGGATTGAGTTTTTGGTATTGTATCTAAAACTCATGTCCAAACCCAAGGTCACCTAGATTTTCTCCTGTTCTGGAGATTTTTGGTTTTATATAATTTACATTTAGGTCTATGATCCATTTGGAGTTTTCTTTTTTCTGTAAGGTATAAGGTCTGTCAGGCTTTGTTATTTTACGGCTGGATTGATAGTTTCTCTGTGACAGCTCATTGAAAAAACTGTCCTTTGTCCACTGAATTGCCTTTGCCCCTTTGTCAGAGATCAAATGACTGTATTTGTGGGTGTCTGTTCCTGGGGTCTATTCTGTTCCAATTACTATCTGTTCTTTTGCCAGTCCCACACCATCTTGATTACTCTAGCTTTATAATAAGTCTTGAAGTTGAGTAGTATCAATCCTCTGACTTTGTTCTTTAGTAGTGTTTGGCTATTCAGGTTTTTTGCCTTTCCGTTTAAACTTTAGTGTCTGTTGATAAACTTGCAGGGATTGTTATTAAGATTATGCGAAATCCGTAGATCAAGTTGGGAAGAACTGACATCTTAGTATTGAGTCTTTCTATCCATGAATATGGAATATTTCCCATTTTGTTTAGTTCTTTATTGATTTGTCATAATGATTTTATACTTGCTATATTACATTTATGCCCAAGTATTACTTTTTCTTTTCATTCTAATGTCTGTGCCACTGTTTTTTTTAATTTCACATTCCCTTCTTCATTGCTGGTATAAGAATGTGACTTTCTTCATTGCTGGTATAAGAATGTGACTTTCGTAAGTTAATCTTGTATTCTGCAGTATTAAATATAATGGCTTACTGTTTCTAGATGTTGTTTTTTAAACGATCCTATCCACTACAAACAAAGGCAGTCTTATTTCTTCTCAAGCTCCACTTAATTTTAACATTGAATACTGTACTGGAATTTTTAATGAAACACATGAAACTTAGGGAATATACAGTCACCACGGTTCTTCTTTATTGAACTTAAAAGTCATCCTGTCTCTGCCCCTAAACATCATTACTAAGTTTTATACTGGGCTTACATATGATTATCAGTGAAGAGGAAATCTAAAAATTGAAAGAGGCAGTGTCTTCAGTTTGTTTTTAGGTTGCATTTGTTGTTTTCCCTTGTAAGCATGTATTAACATTAAGTTTTAGAAAACAGGGAAGGTAAAAATTAAAGCTAAGTTTACTTGCCCTTTATTAAGAACACTATTTAATGAAAGAAAAACTCCATACTTTTTATGAATACTGGGTAATACTTCTTTTGTTAAAAGATTTTAGAGTCTGGGTAACCACAAACTGGACATTTTTGGTTTTAATTTTTTATTTTATTTTTTTCTTACAGCAGCCTGAAGGAACTGGCATGATAGATGAAGAGTTCACTGTTGCAAGGCTCTACATTAGCAAAATGAAGTCAGAAGTAAAAACAATGGTAAAACGCTGCAAACAGTTAGAAAGCACACAAACTGAGAGCAACAAAAAAATGGAAGAAAATGAAAAGGAATTAGCAGCATGCCAGCTTCGTATCTCTCAAGTATGTATAACAGAACAAAGTTTCTTTACTTTGAACAGCCATGTATACATTTTATTGATTATAAAAATTTTAATGGGTGTCTGGGTGGCTCAGTGGGTTAAGCCTCTGCCTTCAGCTCAGATCATGGTCTCAGGGTTCTGGGATCAAGTCCCACATCGGGCTCTCTGCTCGGCAGGGATCCTGCTTCCTCCTCTCTCTCTTTCTGCCTGCCTCTCTGCCTACTTGTGATCTCTCTGTCAAATAAATAAAATCTTAAAAAAAAAAAAATTAAGGAAAATGACCTTCTGTGGGTTATTTTGGGTAACAGTATAAAGGTCAATTAGTTCTTCCTACGTTCACTGCAGTGTATGAGTAAATTTAACTGGGTTATATTTAGTGACATGTATATGTTATATATAGAAATTTGCTAGAAAATGTGACTGATTTGGCTTTTGAAAAATCTAGAAGAATTCTGGGGTAGACAACTACAGAACCAGTTTTCTGGCTTTGGCAACTGAATGGATGAGGCCATTCACCAAGATAGGAGTTGTAGAAGTAGGGAAAAAGAGTAATGTTAGACGGAGATACTAGTAAGGATATCGCATATTTCTGCCTTCAGTACCATAGTTTGCAAGTGTTGTAAGCTATACAGGGGACCATTTCCTTAATTAAATTATCATTGTAATATTACATGTTTAGATATACAGAGAAAACCTGCTAACTTTCAGATTATCCCTAAGAACAAAATGTGTGCATGAGATTTTATTTTTTGGCACTTCATATCAGTATATTTTTCCCAAAAGCATGAAGCCAAAATCAAATCATTGACTGAATACCTTCAAAATGTGGAGCAAAAGAAAAGGCAGCTAGAAGAATCAGTTGATTCCCTCAGTGAAGAACTAGTCCAGCTTCGAGCACAAGGTATTAACTTTTGATTTTTTTATGAGTTCTACGTATATTAATTCTTTCTTTAGTATAATTGTAGTAAATTAAATTTACACTGAAAATAGTGGGCATATGGATAACTTAGAACAGAAATAATATATTTTAAAATGATTTTGAGACCTATTTTTAAAATTGTTTTTGAATATGGAAGTGGCCAATCTAGGAATTTCCAACAAAGTTATGTGGGGTGTGTGTGGCGGGGGGTGGGGGCAGTGTATAAATCTTAACATAGGGGGATAGAGAAAGCTTCTTAGCCCCTACCATGCCCTAACCCATCTGTTACAGGATTAGGCAAAGAAAATAAACTATAATATCAACATAAAGGATATAACTATATTATTAGTAAATATGTTCTGAGGCCAGAGAGCAAGATTTACTATGTGGCATTTAGATAATTTAAAGTCAAGTACTGCCAAGCAACAGATCCTTCATAAAGCCTTTGGCTCGTTGGTTTATAGGAAGAACTTTAAGGCTTATTTCTTCCCTATTTTCTCTCTACCCAAACAGAGAAAGTACATGAGATGGAAAAGGAGCACTTAAATAAGGTTCAGACTGCAAATGAAGTTAAGGCAAGTTTGCTGTAATGTTGGATTCTAATGACTTTAATCCATTGTTTTTATTCTTAATCTTGATTAATCTGATTTAAATCCCTTTCTCCCAATAACTTCAGCAAGCAGTTGAACAGCAGATCCAAAGCCACAGAGAAACTCATCAAAAACAGATTAGTAGTTTGAGAGATGAAGTTGAGGCAAAAGAAAAACTCATCACTGATCTTCAAGAGTAAGTATACTTTTCTTCCCTCTGAGATACTAGAAGCTAACTCAGAAAGATTGACTGTTTAGCAAGAGGAAATAATATCTTTTCAGAAGTCTCCATTTTTCATTGAAAATTTTTATTTTGCCTTGCGCGTAAAGAATCTTTTTAGTTAAGAGCATAACTTCTAAGTTCCAGGTGAAATTTTTAAAAATTGGGTACCTGGGTGGCTCAGTTTGACTCAGGTCATGATCTCAGGGTTGTGGGATTGAGCCCCATGTCAAGGCTCCCTGCTCAGTGGGGAGTCTGTTTCTCCCTCTCATTCTCCCTCTCTCAAATAAATAAAATCTTAAAAAAGAAAAAAGGTTTTTAAAAATTAACTTCCTTTTTAAAAATTCCTTAACAGAGAAAAACTTTTGGAAATGTGGGTTTTAGAAGGTTGGGGTTTTTTTTTTTTAAGTTTTTACTTTATTTTAATTCAAGAACTTTAAAAAAAATAATTGTATTCTTGGTTTTTCATTTGCTCTGTTTCCATAGCTGTATGTATACATAGCTTAGAATTTATAAAAATTGGAGGTCTGCAACTAAATCATGATTTGAGTAGGAACCAGAGGAGAGTAAGTAAGAAAAAATGATGACAAATTTTGATATGTGGGTCATTGCCTTAATGATAAATACAGAATGAGATTCATGGCTTCAGACCAAAATATGAGAAATATTTCATGACTGAAAATAGCCAGGTCCTCTTCATTCCCCTGTGGGGAAGGTGGTCTTGAGTATAACAGGTGGTCTTGAGTATTTCAGTAGCGAAATGATGGAATTTAAGAATTTGAAAGAATTTCAATGATGCCATTCAGAAAATGGATACTGTTTTTTTGATACTGATACTGTGTTACGTTTTTTTCTTTTGTCAGCCAAAACCAGAAAATGATGTTAGAGCAGGAACGTCTAAGAGTAGAGCATGAGAAGTTGAAAGCTACAGATCAGGAAAAGAGCAGAAAACTACATGAACTTACGTGAGTAAATGTTTTAATTCAAATTTAAAAACTAACAACTGGGGGCATGTGATTGGTTCAGTTAGTTAAGTGTCTGCCTTCATCTTAGGTCGTGACTGTGCTTGAGCCCTGTGTCAGGCTCCCTCTGCTCAGCCAGGAGTCCGCTACTTGCTCTCACGTGTTTTCTCTCTCTCAAATAAGTAAATAAATAAAATCTTAAAAAAAAAAAAAATCAAAAGTAAATTAGAGGACCACAGGCATTGCTCTTGGATGTACCCAGTGGACACATTTTTAAGTTTTTAACGGCTATAGGATATTTTTCTTAAACCTTCTGAGTTTTAATATATACCTTAAAATTTGCAAGGTCTTATATTCTTCACTGAAGGCAGGTTCAGACTTCTGTCAGGATTTCATTATAAAAATATACTTTGAATATCATTAAGTCATTTAGAAGCCTTCTGCCACAAAAGCCTTCTGTGAAATTTAAAAAGAAGTGTTCCTCCTTTACTTTACCTGGTGTACTGAGAGTATACTCAGTACTCAGTTTTCTAGAATCTCAGCAGGTAGAAAACTCATGACTATAACTCCTCACTTCTTGAATTTATGACAGATGATTTACAAATGGAACTGCTCTTATTAGTACGGTCACATGTCAGGACCAACTTTCAGAGTTGGTGTTACACAAACTGCCGAATCTCAACCATAGTTCTGTTTAGAATAACTTTAATATGAAATACATAAAATGTTTTAGTCTTCAATAATTTATAATTCCCAGTTTAAGCAGAATTATTTTGGATAAATAGTAGTTAGTGTGTTCTATGTGGTATATTCTAAAATATAAGAACCATTCCTTCCTAATTCTTTGAATTCTGCTACATTTTATTTTCATCCCTACACGCTGTAGTAGTAGTTTTTTTTTTCTAATAAACTATAGATTTAGAAGGAGATTGTAAGGCATGTAAAATTTATTTGAAAATAAAACTAACTTCATGGAATTCAGAGTTGAAAATATGTATATTCTGCTGTTTAGAGTCATGCAAGATAGACGAGAACAAGCAAGACAAGATTTGAAGGGTTTGGAAGAGACAGTGGTAAGAAAAGCTCGAAAATAAATAAGATGGTGGGATGTTTAATGGGTTTCCCCTTGGTTATACTAAATATTTAAAGACCAAATTCCAAAAACATTGCTGTTCTTAATTCAAGGCAAAAGAACTTCAGACTTTACACAACCTGCGGAAACTCTTTGTTCAGGACCTCGCCACCAGAGTTAAAAAGGTAATAAGATAATACTGAGGTGGGTATTTATAGAAATGGTGCTTACTATGTCTAATTATTTATATCTGTAACTGAGGTAATTTTACGTTGTCATAACAATTTTTGTATAGTTAAGGTTAGAACTTTTTAACTTTTAATGTTTTCATAGTATTCATTGACCTTCTTTTCTTAGAGTGCCGAGATCGATTCTGATGACACTGGAGGCAGTGCTGCTCAAAAGCAAAAGATCTCCTTTCTTGAAAATAACCTTGAACAACTCACTAAAGTGCACAAACAGGTAACAAAGAATCTATTTTATAGGTAACTGCAAAATTATAAGAAAAAAATTGAGGAATGGCAAGTGTTTGAGTATTTCCGAGGTCTAAGGAATTTTCATGCCCTGAGCTGTTCTATTGCTTTATTTAGCAATTATATAAATAAATCACTAGCAATTTTTAAGGATGTTAATGTTTTTAACAACCCTATTATCAAGAGGCCAATGAAAATGGGTATTTATTTTCTAGGATTTCAGGCATGTCAGTTTTTCGCACTTACTCATGATAATTTTTAAATCTTTAGTAGATAGGACTTTGCAGTTAAAATACAGTATTTTTTTGTCTGTCATTTAATGCCCCAGAGTGTGAACTATATGAAATAATGAGAAAGTTCATTTTTTTTTTAAATTGTACTTATTGTGTGGGTCTTTGTTTTTGTTGTTTTGCTTTTTTGTGGCTTAATATGTGATTTAATTATTTTTAAAGTTTCTTAGCATATGGAATTGCACATCTTTATTCATATAAGTGTGATGTTTGTACCTAGAGTAAAGGGAATTTTAGCCGTTTTGCTTTCCACACTTATTTTAACACTTAAAATGGTATTTACCAGATTAGTACCTTATTGAAGAGACCTAACACCTTACACCTTACTGTCATTGCCTAGTGAGGAGACAGAATAATTTCCCCTTGCCCCCCAAAATTGAGTGAAATTGTATCTGTGAGAAATACATATATAGATGATATGCATGGATGTATGTATTCTTTGTGTGTTGCTGCCTAAGTTAAGTTAACTAAATGGAAAATGTTAATATAAAATGTAGTTTTACTTTTTTTCTAAAGAGAAATTATGAAATGTTTGTAGTTTCTCAAATCATCTTGTTAAAGCTAAACTACTTATTTTCTTTATGTACTTGTAGTTGGTACGTGATAATGCAGATCTTCGCTGTGAACTTCCTAAGTTGGAAAAGCGACTTAGAGCTACAGCCGAAAGAGTGAAAGCTTTGGAGTCCGCACTGAAAGAAGCCAAAGAAAACGCATCTCGTGATCGCAAACGCTATCAGCAAGAAGTAGATCGTATAAAGGAAGCAGTCAGATCAAAGAATATGGCCAGAAGAGGACATTCTGCACAAATTGGTTAGTAGAACACATTAAAACCTTTTAAACTTTGCTTGGTTTGAATGTATTTATTTACTTGAAAACATAATCTGATTGATTGATTATGTGTTGTCATGGAGGTATTTGTATTTCTAATTTACCAGAGTGGCATTGTTGGGCATGAAGAGCAGATTGAGGGATAGCTACATTCACAGGACAAGAAAATAAATAAGAACTAGATGGGCATGCAAGAGTGGTCAGAAGTGAAACTATATAGAGAGCATTCCTAAAGCAAAGAGAGACTTGCAAGAAAATAAGTTGTCAGTAATAATACTACATGCTTTAGAGTACTATTCATACAGGAATAAGGTTTTTAAGAGGCTGGGGATTATATAGGTCCTGGTGTAAAGGTTATAACCAAAAGGAAAATTTTCTGAGAAACAGAATGGCAAAGAAAAACCACATTTGGGAATTGTGAATGAAAAGAAGAGACCTAAACTGTCACTACAGTCATGTGTTAAGATTTATTCTAAAGTCAGTTCTTCTTTTTCATATTAGCTAAGCCTATTCGTCCCGGGCAACATCCAGCAGCTTCTCCAACTCATCCAAGTGCAATTCGTGGAGGAGGTGCATTTGTTCAGAACAGCCAGCCAGTAGCAGTTCGAGGTGGAGGAGGCAAGCAAGTGTAATCTTTACACATTACTACAGGTGTGTATTTTAAATCTGGCTTTTAAATTATAGCTCTAAATGGAAATGTTCAGCCATTGATTATTAAATACTACTTTTTTTTGGATTTTCGTATTAGTTGGTTTTTGTTTTTTTCTAATGTGTAAGATACTAAGATACTGGATTGTTTTTAAAAGCTCTTATATTCTTTCTAATGGATATACCATGGTTTATAACTATTCCCTTTTATTGGACATTTAATTAAGTTGATTTTTTTCTATATTATCAAATGTCTCACATTTCAAATTTCATATATGGAAATTTCTATTTGGAAAATTTCAAGTGTGAAATACCTTTTTGTGTCCCCTCACCTTTTAAATTATTTTCAGAAGATTCCCAGAAGTGGAATTACAAGAAAGTGTGAACTTTTTTTTTTTTAAAGATTTTATTTATTTGACAGCAAGAGAGATCACAAGTAGAGAGGCAGGCAGAGAGAGAGGGAGAAGCAGGCTCCCTGCTGAGCAGAGAGCCCAATGGAGGGCTTGATCCCAGGACCCTGAGATCAAGACCTGAGCTGAAGGCAGAGGCTTAACCCACTGAGCCACCCAGGCATCCCAAGAAAGTGTGAACCTTTTTAGGCTCTCGATACATTTTAATACATGGCTCGCCAGAAAGATTAGGTCAAACTGCATCTTGGCCAAGGATACTGTCCATTTTGTTGCATCTTCGCCAGCGTGGAATATTAATAGTTTTTTTAAAGATTTTATATATTTATTTAAGAGAGAAACGGGAGAGGGAGAGAGAGGGGTACACACATCAGTGGTGGGAAGGTGCAGAAGGAGAGGGAGAAGCAGATTCCCGCTGAACAAGGAGCCCGATGTGGGGCTCAATCCCAGAACCATGGGATCATGACTGGAACCGAAGGAGGCAGATGCTTAACCGACAGAGCCACCCAGGTGCCCCTGAATATTAATAGTTTTTAAGCTTCTGTTTTAATAGTCCAAAATAAACATCTTGTTGATTTATTAAGAACTTGGATTGTTTCGGGGGTGCCTGGGTGGCTCAGTGGGTTAAGCCTCTGCCTTTGGCTCAGGTCACCATCTCAGGGTCCTCTGCTCAGCAGGGAGCCTGCTTCCCCACTCTCTCTGCCTGCCTCTCTGCCTATTTGTGATCTATGTCTGTCAAATAAAATCTTTAAAAAAAAATAAGAATTTGGATTTTTTTAATATATTTATTGGTTCATTTATATTTTCTTTTCTTTTTTAAGTTATTTCTTTGTCCTTTCCATTTATCTGTTGCAAATGATTTTCCTAACAGATTTGTCTTAATCTGTTTCTGATCACATGAGTGATTGTTCCTTATAGGAGGATAAAGACTTACCGCAAAGTAGGATATATATATATATATATATATATCATCCAGAGATACTGTCCAATACATTGTATCTTTCTGGTGCTTTCTTTGCATATTAGGATATTTAAATTAATTTTAAGGGACACCTGGGTGCCTCGGGTGGGGAGTCTGCTTCTCCCTGTCCCTCTGCCTGCTGCTCCCCCTGCTTGTGCTCTCTCTTTCACAAATAAATAAGATCTTTTAAAAATTAATTTTAAACTGTTGATGAATGTTTCTTTGTAGCCTGCTCTTTTATTTATTTATTTTTTTAAGGATTTTATTTATTTGACAGAGAGATACACAATGAGAAAGGGAACACAAGCAGGGGGAGTGGGAGAGGGAAAAGCAGGCTCCTCACTGAGCAGGGAGCCTGATGTGGGGCTCGATCCCAGGACCCTGGGATCATGACCTGAGCTGAAGGCAGACGCTTAACGACTGAGCCACCCAGACGCCCTTGTAACCTGCTTTTTTAACTTAGTAATATGTTCTGAACATTTTCTTGTACAACACAACTAGGTAGTAAGCTGCTAGGATTCCATCATATAGCAGAAACTCCAATTTTTTGTTTAGAAAAGTCACAGTTTGAATCCCAACTTTCCTATTTTTATGAACTTCAGCATATTACTTTTTATAGTATTTAATTTCTTTATTTTTATTTTACTCCTTTAAATTTCTTTTTTTTTTTTTAATTTATTTATTTGACAGAGATCGCAAGTAGGCAGAGAGGCAGGCAGAGAGAGGAGGAAGCAGGCTCCCCGCTGAGCAGAGAGCCCGATGCGGGACTCGATCCCAGGATGCTGGGATCATGACCTGAGCCGAAGGCAGAGGCTTTAACCCACCGAGCCACCCAGGCGCCCCTCCTTTAAATTTCTTAAGCATGAAAATAAATTATGTATTTATGGTCTAAAACTAATGTACCTATAAAACATTTTTTCCATAACCACAATAACATTGCATGCAACAAAATATTTTTAATATTATCTAATGCCAGTCCATATTCAGATTTCTCTAATTATTTTTCCCCCCTAAGTCCTTTATAGCTGGTTTATCTAAACCACGGTATAATCCATGACCACTGTTTACATTCAGTTAGACCTCTGAAGTCTCTTTTAATCTAGAAAAATCCCCCCTTTTTAATGACATTGGTTTACTGAGGAGATTAGGCCAGTTATCTTGAGCATATGCCTCCTCTGGGTGTGTTTCTATGTGTGATAGCCTTATTTCTCTATTCCCTATATAATGAAAGCATTTATGAGGTGGGGCATAAGCATCTTTAACAAGACTACCAAATAAAGTAGTATGTGTTTAATATTGTGTCACATCCGTAGATATACAGTAGATTGCTTTCCTGCCAATTGGAGACAGCCTCTGTTTTTCCCTGTTTGGAGTAATCACTTGCTGAGCCCCTTTGTTAGTGAAATGTAAGTCACTTTTGAGAATTACGCAAGTTAAAATGTTGTTACCTAGTACAGAGCAGCTGTTCAGTAATAGGCAGGCTGCCTTTTCTGGAAGTGTAGGTGGGCAAAGGGATTTTCACAGCATAAATAGAGATACAGATAAAAGTTTATTCCTTTTGGGTATTGTCCTCACATTAGAATTCACGGGTAAACTTTGAACTCCTATCTTACTTGCAGAGAGGATAGACCAGGGCCTTTGTTACATATAACTTAAGTTTTAGCTAGAAAGTAGAATGCTGATCCCAGTGTAATGACAGCAGTTTAGCACATGAGGGAGATAGCTAACCTAGCCAGACTAGGTTTTGAAGACTTGGAGTAGTAATGATAGAAGTATAGTTGATTACAGGATTGTTTCATTGCTGGTCCAAAAGGATAGTGGTTTTTATTTTTTAAAGCCTTGGATCATTCAGTCTTAAACCATGATTGTGGAGTATATGAGCTCCATAAGTGATAAATTGTTGAAAAGTTGAATAATATGTAGAGAAATTTTAAAATTATTTTTACTTATTAAGGAAAACATTTCAAAACACTGGGTTTATTTCTGGGGAAGACAACAATGTGTTAATAATACCGATTCTGTTGGAACCCAGTTTTTCATGTCTGGTTGTCTTTCTTGCATAATACTGTCAACAAGTTGAGTTTTCCTAAACACACAGGTAAGTAGGTGGCTTAATACCAGAATGCCTCCAGGTGACAACAGCTGGAATTGTTTATTTCACTGTTTCTTTTCCTACTCTATCTTGTTTTTACCTATCCCTCTCTCCAACCCACACTTCTTGTTGGTTTTTTGTTTTTTTTTACAGCTACCATGAATATAACATCATGGTCTTTGGCTTAAGAATGTCACTGACACTGTCCACTGACTTCCATTTTATTAACCATCTTTTTTTTTTTTTTTAATGTAATTCCTACATATGCTCACTCATAACTCTCTTGGGGAGATAAAAACAAAGAGCTTCTTCGAAGCAGAAGCTAAATAAAAAGAAAAGCGATCAAATCATTTAATTATTGCCATCTTTTTAATTGGGGGCAAGTGGTCTAAGCTATTGGCTAAAATGTTTTTAAATATATTGGTATGTTTTATTTACTTGTTTCATTCTTTTCATGATTTTTTTAAACTAATTTATATAAATTTTTGCATCTATTTTCAGGTGTTGAAAATAATTGAAGAATGAAGAGGACATAATATCAAGCAGAGTCATTCAGTGACTATAACCTCTACCCCCTGGGAATTGTAGAATTATAACCCTTTTTTAATGTATAAATTATACCTGGCCTGTACAGCCGTTTCCTACCCACTCTTCTTGTAAACTCTGCTGCTTCCCAACACAACTAGAGTGCAATTTTGGCGTCTTAGGAGGGGAAAAGATGACAGTTTACAACTGTGGTTCTATTTATTACACAGTTTGTCTTTTGTGTCTTAAATTTAGTCTTCACTGTGCCAAGCTAATTGTACCATATAGGATTGTGCTTTTTGTACTTGTCTTTTGTTTGTTTGTTTGTGTTTGTTTTTTAATCTCAGTTTAAGTTACCTAGCTGCTACTGCTTCTTACTTTTCTTAATAAAGTGTCTTCCTTACTTTAGGGAAAATGGAACAATTAGATTAAATGTCTTTAATTTCACCACCTAAAACACTACATACCCACAAAATATATCAGGTCAGTACTGTACTTTAAAATCCCTTGAAATGATTTCAGAGTTAAAATTATTTGTACTGTGTCTGAAGTTTGCTTCTGAAAACTACTGTTTGAGCACTGAAACCTTAAAACTGCCTAACAAGGCATTTGAGACTGAGCACGGCTAATTAATTATCTTCATGAAATGCCTGTTACTGAATTATCTTTAATAGAAATATTTTATAATATCAAAAGCAAATCTCCATTTAAGAAAGAGGATTTGGAGAAGGAATTCTATTTCTCTTCCCAGTTCTATAATCAACATGGCGTGATGGAATGAAAACACTCTGCTTCATTCTGGTGAGCCTGTTAATTAATATAAGAATTAGACAGATACTGATTTGTCATCTTCATATAGTGAAATGAAGTAAGATACTACAGGATTAAACAGCATTTATATTCTTAACTACTGTATTGGTTGATCTAAATTTATAGCCAATGGAAATTGAGAAAAATTGTGGAGAACTTAATGGTGAGCTTATAAATCTATAGGTGAATTTTGGTCTGAAATCCCTGAGGTATTTTTAACCTGCTACCTAGAAATAGCAAAGTGCAAGTCACTAATAATCCTCAAAGAAATTTTGTTGGCTATAGCCCATAATTTGGTAATTTGTACTAAGTGTATCCGTTTTTGCCACTTCTTCCTCAGCTTATCAAACAACGTCAAAAGTTTTATTTTCAGAAGTTCAAAATGTAGTAGGGAGGGAGATTTAAATATTTGCCTCATCTGTGTGTGGGGTGACTATACCTATATTAGCAGAAATTTGCAGATAATGATGATTTTAAGGTGATTCAGTCAATAGAGAAAGTTGGAAAATTCTGTGTTAGGATCTGGCTGGCAGAATTAACTTTTTGAAAAAGTTTTATACACAGATATTTGTATTAAATTTGGAGCCATAGTCAGAAGACTCAGATCATAATTGGCTTATTTTTCTATTTAACTATTGTAATTTCCACTTTTATAATAGTTTTGATTTAAAAGATAAATTTATTTATTTATTTTTTTAACAGTCAAAAGTCCTTGCTGTTGTAGTCTGCAACCTTCAAAATGATGGTGTTGCTTTTCAGACTGGTCAAAAGAAACACTCCAGAAATTGAGATGAAAACTTGGTGTGCAGCAAGATTGAAGTAATACAGTTAACTTTAAAAAAAAAAAAAAAAAAAGAAGTGCTATAGCCTATTTATGGTGATAGTTTTCTAAATGGAAAACTGTTGGGCTGCATTTACATAGACATTTGTATTTTGTTTCAAAAGAAAGCTTGCTTCTTTGGCAGTATTTTTAAATGAAGCAGAATTTTTTTTCTCTTTTATCTGAACATTATGGTAGTTTCATTCTTGTAAGATGTATCACGGGTATTGGTGCTGTGTAACAAACAATTGTAATTAGCATGTGGTTCAGAATTCACAATGTTAGGGTTTTTTAAAATATTGAAATGGTTCTTTTCTATTTATAATTTCAGACTTTCACAAAGTGTACAAAGAATTTCATAAATTAGTTTTCAGTGAACTGCTCTTTTTGCTATGGTAGGTCATTAAACACAACATTTACTCTTATAAAATTTCTGATCATCTAGAACATTGACACGTTTCAATTTGCGGTGTCTTTTTTTTTCTTTTTTTCTTTTTTTTTGACTGACTATTAACGTTCCTCTGAATGGTATTGATAAATGGTTCAGAAGAGAAACTCAATGAAATAAAAGTAATATTTATTCATGGTGATCAATTAAATTATTTGTCTAATTTAAGCAAGCTACTGTTCATAACTTTCAATTTGATATAAGGTGACAGAAAAGAATCTGAATATACCTGTGGAATATGTTGGTTTATTTTCAGTGCTTGAAGATACACTCAAAAGATAATTGGTTTGGGAAGACGCCATATAATCTTTAAGTTTTAAGTTAACCTGCATGCTGTAAATGTGTTTTATGTTTAAATAAAGAGGAAAAATTTTTTGAAATGTAGTAACTTTCTTAAAACTTACTTAGTGAAGTATTAGGTTGATTTCATATGACTGAGTGGCCTTTGTCTTGTAGGTGGTGACTATTCATTTATATTTTGTTTCCTAATGTATTGCATACTCTTTGGACACTGGGTATTAAGGATGTAGGCTAAAAAATTAAGAACCAGAAGTGAATCCACAATCTCACCTGTTACTTTAGTGTAGCCTTCCTGCGTGGTTCTGCTCATCTGAGCCTGATTGTTTTATTAACATCTCTAAGAAGTGTTTGTTTTTCAATACTTACTCAGTGGTCCTTAATGGTCATTCAGGCCTAGCTGGAGAAAACTAAAGAAAGACTATTCATGAATTCTAGTGGTTGATTTGGCTTTTTGTTGGGGATGGGGAAGAGGGATAATAATCTTAAATTCTTTGTTATAGAAATGTTTAATCACATAAAAGCATGTAGTAAATGATGAAGATCCAAGTACCTATCACTCCATTTCAATAGTTAATTGGCTCGTGGCTAATCTTGTTCCATCCATAACCACACTTGTGTGTCCCCTCCCCCCTATTATTTTGACGCAATCCCAAATGTCATATGCATTTATTCGTAAGTATTTCAGCATATATATTAAAATACATACTCTTTAAAACACAAAAAAATTTCCTAAACAAAATTTCAATGTTTATAAACTCTTTGAATCAAGACCCAATTATAATCCATATACTAGAGTAGTGTCCCCTCCATTTCTCTTTCTCATTTTTTTCTCCTTGTAATTAGTTTATGAGGAAAACGGGTTATTTGTCCTGTAGAAATTCCCATATTTTGATGATTGCATTCCTTTGATACTAACGCCTCCGTCCTTTGTATTTCCTTGGAAAGTAAATTTATCCTGGATCTAGAGACTTCAGATTCAGATTGTTGTTTTTGTTGGCGTAGGGGGCAGCATTATTTCATAGGTGCTGGTATTCCATCAGGTGGCACATAATGTCTAGTCTCTTGCTGGATTATTAACTGCCATTGATGATCAGTCCCTTTATCAATTTATTAGGGGTTACAGAATGGCAGTATTCTAATTTGATAATTATTTGTTAGCTGTCATAGAGAACTTTGCCTTCATCTACTATTTGTTTAACCAGTGGTATAGTTTGTATAGGAAAAACGGGGTAAATGATTCTTTTCCTTTACTTGAAAGTTTCAGAATTATCATTTCATTATCATCTGATAGTGATGACGAGTTGTGCCTTTTTTCCTTATTTTTTGTATGTTATTTGGTTATTATCTTTTAAGAGTGCTCTATGAGCCTCAAGTCATTTTTCCCTTTCATGGAGAGATTTAAATGGAAACAGATTCTTAATAAGGTTTATCTCCTACACTGGGTGCTAATGCAGTCTGTCTTATCAGGGTCTCAGTGTGCTAGCCACTTCTGTCTCATCCAGTTCAATAAGCTTAACAGTGTCGATGTGACCTTCTGTGGAATGACCAGGTACTCAGATTGCTTCAAACTTAGAATAGAGGGTAGGAGAGTTAACACGGGCCTGGAGCAAAATTGTACATGTATGTTGTCTGCTACATGTGAATGTAAACTGCTTTTTGGTCCTCTTGTAATCTGAAAGGAGCACATCGCATACTGATTTGGCTGGTAGGTGTGGGAAGGGAGGGCACCACAGATTCAGAGGCTTCTGTTTGGCTTCTGGCATAGCCAGTGTCCTGCAGGCCAAAGGTGCATGTGGGGAGTCCTGCCACTTACGGAGTATGTCAGTTCTGGTTACACTTGCAGAAACAGGGAAATGACCGAAGGGTCAAGTCTGCAGAGCATATGCATTTTTTTTTTTTTAAGCTATTCTATATATTACTCTTCCTCTTGGTAAGTGTACTCTTTAATCCCCATCACCCCTCCTTAACCTCCCCTCTGGTAACCATCAATTTGTTCTCTGTAGTTAAGAGTCTGTTACTTGGTTTGTCCACTCTAATATTTCCTTGTTTCATTAGTTTTCTTAAGTTCCACATATAAGTGAAATTGTATTTGTCTTTCTCTGATTTTGTTTAGCATTATACTCTCTAGGTCCATCCATGTTGCAAATGACATTTCATTCTTTTTTTATGGATTGGTAATATTCTTATATACGTACACACACACGCGGTATCTTTATCCATTCATCTGTCATTGGACACAGGCTGTTTCCATTCTTTGGCCATTGTACATAGTGCTGCAATACATAATAGGGGAGCATGTAGCCCTTTGTTTTTTGTTTTTTGTTTTGTTTTGTTTTGTAATTTGGGGATAAAAACCAATAGTACAGTTACTGGATGATAGCACCGTACTATTTTTAACATTTTGAGGAACCTCCATACTGTGTTCTACCATGGCTGCACCAATCTGCATTCCTACCTACAGTGCAAGAGCATTCCCTTTTCTCCACATCCTTACCAATACCTGTTTTCTTCTGTCTTTGAATTTAGCCATTCTGATCGTTGTGAGGTGATCCCTCATTGTGCTTTTGCTTTGTATTTCCCTGATGATGAGGGATTTGAGCATCTTTTCATGGGTCTGTTGGCCATATGGATGTCGTTTTTAGAGAAATGTCTTCTGTGTGTTTTTAAGTTGGATTATTTAAGTGTTATATAGGGTTGTTGTTGTTTTTTTTTTAAGATTTATTTTTAGAACAAGCAAGTGGGAGGAAAGGGGCAGAGGGAAAGAATCTCAAGCAGACTCTCCACTGAGCACGGAGCCCAGTGCAGTGTGCGATCTCAAGATCCTGATATGACATGAGCCGAAATCAAGAGTCAGACACTTAACTAACTGAGCCAGCCAGGTGCCCTGTATCGATTCTTTATATATTTTGGATGCTAACCCTTTATCAGATATATAATTAGCAAATACCTTCTCCCATTCGGTGAACTTTTAGTTTTGTTGACTGTTTTCCTGTGCAGAAGCTTATTTTGATGTAGTGCTAAAAAGGTTTTTATTTCCCTTGCTTAGGAAGGGAGATTTAACTCCCTTGGGAGACTTGACTAGAAAGATTGTTGTTATGGCCAATGTCAAATTATTGACTGTGCTCTCTTTTAGGATTTTTATGGTTTCATGTCTCACATTGAGGCTCTTAATCCATTTTTTTTATTAACATATAATGTATTATTTGTTTCAGGGGTACAGGTCTGTGTATCATCAGTCCTCCACAATTCACAGCACTCACCATAGCACATACCCTCTCCATTGTCCATCACCGAGCTGCCTTATCCTTCCCACCTGCCTCCTCTCCAGCAGCCCTCAGTTTGTTTCCTGAGATTAAGAGTCTCTAATGGTTTGTCTCCCTCCCTGGTCCCATCTTGTTTCATTTTTCCCTCCCTTCCCCCACCCAGGACCCCCTGCCCTGCCTCTTAAATTCCTCATACCAGAGAGAGCATATAATCGTTCTCTTTCTCTGATTGACTAAATTCACTTAGCGTAATACCCTCTAGTCCTAGCCATGTCATTGCAAATAGCAAGATTTCGGGGGTTTTGATGACTGCATAGTATTCCATTGTGTGTGTGTGTATACACCACATCTTTTTCCATTCATCTGTTGATGACCATCTAGGCTCTTTCC